TTTTTCAAATATCATTAGTTTTAAAAGAATTTCGTCTTATACATTATCGAAGAAAAAGACGTGCCCGCTCCTCCTCTTTCGATTGGTGAAAACCGCAGGTAGCTAGGTATTGCGGTTGTCGAGTTATTGAGCTTACACTCACCCCTCTTTTATTCTGGCGCGGACATTAGTTAGCATTATATTTTTTGATTTCATCTATGGTCTCTTGGAGGTCAACATTTTGTTTTTCTGCCTTTATCTTTTTTTCTTTTCACAACTATAACAGCCTACTCGCGGTACTTATGTGATGGCTGAAGAACACTACTGAAATATACAAGAGACTCAATTTAGTTTCTTTTTTTAAATCATACTAAGGTGCATGATGATCAGACAATAATAAGAGTTTTAGTTTTGATTGGTTTTAGATTATTTTAAATTTTCTGAAATAGTCAATTAACCCCGTATCATGTTCATCTGTTATTCTAATGTTGCATTTTTGACGTAATTTATCTTTTCAAATGAAACAGATGGACATTGGTTTGCCGCTTATTCTTTATTTGTTTATTATTCATCTTTTTTTTAGTACTTCACCAATAGAATATGAACGTTCTTTTTTTTTAATTTTTAAAATTTCTTTTCATGAAATGAAACTTGGACATTATGGGTAAATGTGCTCTTCGTCGAAAGTGATATCATCGAATGAAAGAGAGACTTCTGCAGGGTAGGGTAGGGTTATGGTGATAAATTTTAGGGCAGGATTGGTTAAAGATAGTGCAGTATATATTTACAATGAAATTAAAGTGTTGTTCTTATTACTAAGATTCTTGTTCAAGTAACTGCGAAAACACTTTAAATCTGTCTGATTTAAAAGACTAAAAAGAAACTGATTAGAATCCACATTGATTCGACAGACTAAGAACAGACGAGAGCACAATAGTGTATCATTTATTATTTTTATGTTTTTTTTTCTGGTAAAACTCAATAAATGTTAATCAAGATGTTTACTGAATCTTCTTGACACACTTGATATGCGAATAAAAAAAATATACATTCAATTCGGTGAACGAAACAATGTTAGTTATCATAACAACATCCTTGTCTTTATCGAATGATAGATTTTGCTTTAGTTTCTTACGATTACAAAAATTGAATGATGCACATGCATGAAAACTGTTTATTTAATGTACCATATGTACGCGGATTCTATTGTATGAACTGAAAAAGAGAACGCATTTCATTGGCTAGCGTATCAGGAATTATTTGAATAAATCAACAACTTGAAAAAAGAAATATCAATTTAAGAATATGAAAAACAAAAACCGATTGTATTTGTTAAACAAAAAAAATATTATAATAATATGCTCTGAACTTTGCATACTTGATTGTAGTTGAAAATCTATTAGATATGCTGCAATACAATAAAAAAAAAAACACTTCAATTTAATATCGCGCAACATGTGCAGATCGGAGGGTATAGTAGGATATACAACGGAAAAGTCTATACGGTAGAACAGGAGTAGCATATGAACGCCAGAGAGTAGAGTAAGGTCAATATGTGGATTTATAGGATACGATCAGTGTTGCCACCTTTTGAAGGCCAAAAAACAGAAAACAATTTATAAAAGGCAGAAAATGACAGAAATTGTATCGCGGAAAAGCAGAAAGCACATTTCTTGTGATATAAAGCTATTTTTAAACTCTTTTACACTGTACTAAAATAAGAATTTTCTCATCAAATTTTGTCCTTTATTGCACAGAATCAATAACAACAATCAACTAACAAAAAAATACAGTGGTTTACTTTAACAATACTGAAAGAGAAAATGCCAACGGAAAAAATGTCGAAAATAATAATATCGCAGCCTAAGCACATACTAACGATGTACAAGTAAACATGTGTTGCTATAGTGTATGTGAGAATAGTCGAAAAAGTCGTAATAAAAAAAAAAATAGAAACTTCGAATGCGACGAGTCAGCCAAAGCATTACAAGAAGACTATGAAAGACGCCATTGGTGAAATGTTCATCACTACAACGGAGTTTTTTCCTAGTGTATGCAGCATATGAAATAGAACTCCTTTTTAAAACTAAAATTGCTAGATTCATGTATTTTCATGAAATTGTATCGAAATTAATTCTGATAGAGCTGTGGAACTGCGAAAAAAGCTTTTTGACAGTGTGGTGTAATTGTCAGCGTTGGTACGACTGCAGGCGTGAGTGCCACAACTGATGTAAATTGTAGTGCGCCATGAGGTTTAAGAAGATTCATACCAACACTCGCATCCGTTTTTTATTTTCATTTTTTCTTCTGCTTAAAACCAATTGTTCTGGAAAGATGTTGGAGTCCACTTTATTTGCAGACAGTACTGCAACAACTATATTAAAAGTGTCAGCGACAGATTATATACTGATATTAATTTATTTTTTACATTACTGTCGCTCTTATTGAAAGATTCTTTGTTCTTAATTAAGAGTTTTTCGACTATTTTTCTCATCGATCAATTTTCGTGGACCCGTGCCTTGTAAATTTTAAGCCGTAATAATTGTAACTGATGAAAAAACATCATTTATTAAAGATGAAGAGTTCTTTTTACCTTTAATTATCTTTCTCTTTACTAATAATAATATGAATATATCCAAAAACATCTATTGCTAATATTTATGTTTACTTAACACTACGACAGTTTGAGTTTGAACCAAAGATGTTCATCGCGGCTGAAAATCTCCCGCTGCGATTGGTATTTTTAAAAAAATGTTTTAATTTTCAAGGCTGTGATTGAATTAAACTAGAACTGTTGCTGATAATCGACCTGATTCGTTAAGTCTTACAGTGTAACATATATAATACCGAGATTCTCTGTAAATTCATGAATTTTTGAGATCTCTCCTTAAAAGAGTTACCGCATCGCCACCACTACGGCGGCAGCACCCCCCATGAACATCTCTGGTTTGAACACATAAAAAGTTCTTTTTAATACTTCACAAAGCATAATTTATATCAAATATGTGTATAAATTAATTTGTCATTATGATAGGATAGGAGATATTTTTGCTGTTGAACATTTAGTTGATCTAAAATCTCTCTTTTTAAAATTTGAGGCCCTCTCCAGAAAAAAATTTAAAACTCAGATGAGGAAAATGATTTTCACTTGAGTATAGCGTCAGATATCCTACTATGTATTTCAATTATTTATATCAGTCAAACGATAAGAATGAAGAACCAAGGATCGTCTATTCTATCCTATCTTCTGTGGTCACTATTTATCATGATCACATAAAAATACCATAGTGAAAATATAGGGAGAAAATATCCGTAGATGAAATATACATCTCGATATTTTTCTTGCGTTTGCTAGTTATTTAATAATTAAGAAACTTTAAAAAAGCGCAGAGAGTTCTATTAGTCACGTGTAAATGATGGTGATTATTGATTTGATGTCACTAAATTCTATGCGCTAGCCTTGTCAAAGAGTGAACAAAATTTTCGATCCGATGAATTTCAATATGCATTCTGTGACATTCATAGATTTTGAGTAAAATAACAAGAAAAAAAAATGATTATTTCTGTATAGTTTTTTTTAAATGAATTTCAATACATTTAAGGAGTCTCGAAACAAATTTTTTATTGGTTTGTATTTTCTCCAATAAACATAATTGTTTAGTTAGAGAAGAAACGAAAGATGAATATTTGATGACAAGATGTGACTTGTTAGAAAAAAAAAAAATAATCTTTCGTTAAAGGACACCAAATAAATAGTGAATACTTCTAATTAAATGATATTAACTTTCATTTTTGTTTTATTTATCTTCTTCTTTCCATCTATACATCAATCAATTGCAACCAAGATAAAGTGATCGTATCGTTCACAATTTCCTTGTTTTCTGTTCATGTTTTTAGATGGCATCTGATTCAAAAGCAGCTGGTGGTATAGTGACAAAAGAAATCGAATCTCGTCTTAAGTAATAAATGAGATTAATTTATTTTATTTTTCATTCGTTTCTTTTAGACAAATACCTGAACATTTGTTTGAAGTATTTCTTGAGATTCGTGAACCAGTTGATAATGAAAGTAATTCACTATTTTTTTTTTAATTTTTAATAATTTTACGTACTTTTTTTAGCGCCTGAGATTTTAATAAAATATCCAAATGACGTTTCTGATGATAGTCTTAAAAATGTAACGAATTTTGCTTATCCATGCAAAACACCATCGTAAGATTGCTTATCAAAAAAACAAAAAAAAACAATCTTCATAATGTTTTAAATATTTATAGAGATGAACAAAGTGAGCATTTTGCATTTGTGATACTTGATACAACTGGTACTCTTTTTCGTTTTGGTTATTGTCGACGATCGAATCGTGAATCTACTTGTTTATGTATTATTAGGTAGAAAATTATTGTACATTAAAATTTTCAATTATACTAAATCTTATTTGTAGTTTTTATCCATGGTTTGAAACATTCTATAAAATTTTAAATGATTTATCTCATATAATTAATTCAAAATCAGTAAGAATATTTTTATTTTATTAATAAATATATATTTATATGAACAGTTAAAGGATCCTTCTCAGCCATCGATTTTAGTAGGTGGTTTTAAATTGCTGCTATTTGAGCTTATCTTGAATATTTTTTTTTTATATAGATTTTATTTATTCTTTTATTTTATTTTTCAATAGACTGCCGATATGGAACAATTGTTATCATCATTGTATAATTATAAATTAATGTCAATTGAAGAATTTTATAAAAATGAAGGAAAAGAAATTATTGAAATAAATATTCTTTCAAAAGTAAACTAAATTTTAAATTATTTTATTCTTTATTTTGACGAGAAAAATTTAGAATTATACTTATACTCGTCCTGATCCACGAAAACTTCCTTCAATGTTAACTAGTGTAAGTATTTAAAAGAAATTAGTTAAATCTAATGAGGAAAAAATTCTCTAACTAAGTAATTGAGTTTGAGTGAAGACTAAAAATGTATTCTTTGTAGGAAATAAAGATCAGTTTCATCTAAGAACTGTTCGAGATCGATCGATAAATTATTTTCTTTTAAAAGTCAATATGTTTGATGTCAACTAGATGAACTCATCGTTATCTCGAATGATTAGATTAGACAATTGTGTTATTTGAAACCAAAATGATATGTACTTGACAGAATTAATAAATTTTTAATCTATATTGAAAAATCCTAATGACAGAACAAAAACTATTTAAAGAGTCTCTTTGATATATCATTCATAAAGTGTAGAAAACTGTCGTTATAACTCGAACTCATTGAATCCGTATCTAAGATTACATTCATACAGATAATAAATTTAACCAAGTATTTTCTTTTTTTTTAATTCCTATTTGTTTTATTGAAAAAGAAAGCTTTATTTTGTTATTTACATTGGATCATTATTAAAAATACCATAAACAAGTCGGAAGAATCTATGAAAGATATGAGTGCATGTTCGAGTAGAAATCGATGGTCATAAAACATGTTGAAACTGGGATCGTCAAATAAAAATATTTTTGAAACGTTCGATTATCCAAATGATGCGAAAACGACGATTCCAGACTCTGAAAACCCCTTGTACTCACAGAAAAGTATCATCGAATGTTGTCCTACTGAAACTGAAGATCGTACGCTTATCCTTGGTTGATATTGTCTTTTCAATTTCAAATACTAAATAGTGTAAATAGATTTCTAAATGATCGTATCTCTCTGATAATTTGACTTCTTTTTTTTGTTTTCATTTTATACTTAAAGAATAAAAGCGAATCTGTGATACTAATTCCGGATAATATTCGGACTTGCTGAATATTTCTCATAACTTTTGAATCATCTTGAATATCTTCACATAGTTTTCACGATACAAAATATCTAACAAAACCAACATTATGATAAACTTCCTTATTAATATTTTAGTATATATTGGAATTTATCTATCGTTATATTTCTGCTTGTTCATTAGATATATTTCTTTGATTCTATGAAAGTTTCGATTATGTCACTAAATGTAGAAACGTAAAATGATTATGTACTAATCGAAAATAAATTAATTTCAATTGATAAATAGTTTTCTATCTGTTCAATTGTACGCACACCTACAGGAGACATCAAAAAAGCTTCTAATCAGTTGAAAATTAGTTATTTTTGTTCACCTCACGAAAATACTGCCTCTGCTGTTTTCTTCACTTCTCATATAATAATAAGCTTGATATTTATCTTAACTTTCGATTCTCTAAATTAATGTCAGTACGTAACAATTTTTAAGTCGATATTTTCTTAAAATAGTTTTTTGAATTTAATTTAGCGTAATTTCACTGTTATGGTTTCACGATTGGGTCCGGAAATAATGTTACGTCTTTTTTCACATTTAATTTTCGAACGACGTATTCTATTTGTTTCATCGAAACTTTTTCATTTAACTGGTTAGTTCTTGCTCTTGTTTTTTTTCTTATTATAAAAATAAAAACAATATTAATTTTCTCTAGCATGTGCATATGGATGTTTACATTTAATTTATCCAATGCATTGGTAAATATTTTTGAAAATAAAAATTAATAATTTATTATTGTTTTTTATTTCTCTAAAAAAAAAAAAAAAAAAGGCAAAGTATATTTTTACCAATACTTCCTTCATCAATGACATGGACTACACAATGTACTGCACCATATATACTTGGAATGCATTCAAGTTTATTTTCGACATTAAACATGAATGAATTAGGTGATGTTGTTATTGTGAATATTGATGAACGAAAAATTGAATCACAATATGATGATCTTAATTATTTTCCTAAATATTTAATTCGAAGTATGAAAAAAGGTATTCAACACTCATCACAATTAGCTGGAGATCATTTAGCAAGAGTTTTTCTTCGTGCAATGGCATTTTCTATTGGTTAGTAAAAATTCTAATAGTTTTTTATTTTTTTCAAATGAAAAAAGGACAAGTGGCGTTAAGGCCGTTTTTTCGCCCCCAAAATATTTCGGTTTTTTGCATTAAAAACAAGTCAATGGAGGTTCCTGATGATATTTCAAAGATTTATTTTGGAATATCTTTCAATCGATTTTTCGACTCACACCCGTACTCTCCCACAGGGTTGGCCAAAATCTATTTTTGACACTCCCGTAGGGGAGTACGGATGTGAGTCGAAAAATCGATTGAAAGATATTCCAAAATAAATCTTTGAAATATCATCAGGGGCCTCCATTGACTTGTTTTCAATACAAAAAAAAACGAAATATTTTGGGGACGAAAAAACGGCCTTAACGCCACTTGTCCTTTAGCTAGAATAGTCTAAACGAGATTGCGATATATTATCCAAATCATATTGGATTGGTACATTTGGTTCGCTTGTTCGTTGGTCTCAACGTCGACTTCTACATCAGCCAGATAGATTACAATATGAAATTACGAAAGATTTTCTTTTACAAGAATCTATCATAGGAATAAAGCTAATAATATCAATTGTGTTGCATAATTATAAATATTGTCTTACTCATATAACTCTTTGTAATTATAATTATACGACTATTTTATCTTAATATCAACATAGTAAACATATTATATATCGAATAGCATATGATAGTATTTTAACTAAATATCGAACTGAAGAATAGTATGAAGTATTAGACAAGATAAGTTTATCGAAAAAAAAAGGAAAAGAAATAATAAAAACAATAAGAAATTTACAATCAAACTAAACACACCTTTAGTCTTATTAAATAACATAAAGTTTTATAGAAATGATAATCAGAAACTCTTTTGTTCACGTCAATATTTAGTTAATTATTTGATTTCCGAAGTTTTCATATCTGTAGTAATGTCTTCTTTCTTTTCGGCATTTTTCTAATCTTCTTGAGATGATATTGTTTCGATCTTCATCTCTAAAAAGAAATATATTAAAAATAATAAGTATGAAAATAATTGATAACTCTATTATGACAAAATCAAGCGAAATGCACAGAACGTACACGTATTCATGTTTCATTCTACTTAGTCAGATTTGTTCTAATTTTTTTTTTGAGTTCTTGTAACTTCTAATAAGAATCCAAATTGTAATTTGAGTAGATAATTTTACTTCTGCAAAAAATTTTCGAAGATGAAAATAATTGGTAGTTGCTTAAAGATATGGTCTCTGAAAAACCAAAAACAAACTTTTCAGGTTCTCTCTACACAATGAAACATCTTCTAGCTCTCTACGATGTTTTTACACCGAGATACATTAACCTTACGAAACTCACAAAAGTCACTTTTTTCTCTTATTTGATATGAAAACTCCAATTTAATGCCTTCCGTAAAGTTGATGTATGTTGGTCAAAACATATCGTAGAGAGCTGAAAGATATTTCATTTTGTAGATATAACCTGAAAAACTTGGAGTTTGGTTTTCTAGAGATTCTAGTCTTGGTAAATTACTAATCATTGTCATCTTTAAAACTTCTTGTTGGAGATAAAATTCTCTACTCAAATTATTATTAGAATTCACTGCAGCGAAAAAAATTGAAAATTAATCTAGTCGAATAATTTTGAGAGCCACTGTGGATAAGTTCAACCTCGAATATATTCAAACTTCAATAAAATTTATGCAAAAACAAAAATAAAGAAAATTGTTTCTAAATATTTGAACAAGTCTCTATTTTAATGGGAATGATAATCATTTTTTTTGAAAATTATATAACAAATTAAGCTAAGTATTTATTGTTTGTTTAGTAGGAAAATTTAACTCGTCAGTAATTTATCCAACGAATTGATGTTGAATGAGTATGGGTGTAGAAAAGATCCAGCCTCAATCTCTATCTACACTGTCTCTTCTTCCAAATAATCAGCAGAAAGTAAATTGTGTAAACCGTAGTTTCCATTGTACATTCAACAAAAAGAAATCATCTTATATCAATATTAAAAGTAAATAATTAATTTTAATTCTAATCCGATCAAATCTTCTGTTTTCACTCTTAATTCCTACAAGAATAAATTTACCTTTCGTCGTTTCATCATTCATTGTTTTTTCTTCTTGATATTTTTGTTTTATAGCATTAAATTCTTGTTCTGTAATTTCTTTAAGAAATAATTGTAATTTTTCATCTTCAATTGCATTTAAAAAATCCAAATAATCTCCACAACAGTTTTCTTCTTGAAATATTTGTGGTAAAACAATTTTACCATTTTCAGATTTTTTACCAGTATCAATAACAAAGTTTCGTTCATTTTCATTTTCTGGTGCAGCTACATCAATTGCTTGATATTCAAATTTCCATGAACTAAGTACAGAAAATACATGAACTTGTCCTTTACGTATATCCCGACGACCTGTTGTTGAAATAAAATAGACACGTAATACCATGATTGGATTCTATTGGCAACAAAAAAAAATTCCCTAAATGATTGAAACCAAACGTCAATGATTAATAGTGAATTATAGAAGGAGAAACATTGTATTGTACGTGTTTATTTGCTCGTTATGAGAAGATTCATCAACTAAATGTAGAAAGAGAAAAGAAAGAAAAATACATGAGTGATACGAACATCCATAGGGTTTAGCCTTCTTTTTTTTTCTTTTCCTTCGGATATCTAATGCTCGATAGAGAAAATGCATTTTCTGTTTTCTTCTTCTTCTTCTGCTGCTGCTGTCGCTTCAAATGAGTGCGATATTAACTAACCCATTTTCTTATATGTAGGAATAGAACGTGTCTCTACGTAATGATATTCATCTTTGACAAGGTCAAACGAACGTATGCACATCTTTGTGCTTGTGGTGGATATGTTTATGCTACGATTGTCTTTTAATAGGATAATCAAAATTAATAGATGCTATTTTTGAACAATAAGTGTGTCACTTTCTGAAACATATAGTACCAAACTAATTCATTTCTCTAAATAAATACAAGCTCATTGATGCGAAAAAAAACAAACACACGTGTTGAAGTTGTGTCTTATGAAGGTCACATATAGTTATATGCAAAGAAAAAATCATTAGAATTTAAAGTATACTATTTCATCATTTCAGTTATGAAATCCAAATCACAAAATAATTTGTGGTTGTCTATATTCTATAAAAATTTCTTGTTAATATTATGTTCAAATACTTAAAATTTATTAAAATATAAAATAATTAACAAATCAAATGTTTACAAATCTTGGTTAAGCTTTTTTTCATTGTTAGAATTTAATTTCATTCTATCTTTCCATCTTAATCGTTCTCGTTTACAACTGCCATATAATGAATTATAATTGTCAGATGTTGTACACATCCATCTTTCCGGTTGGCGAAGCCATTGTATTATATCTGGACCAGATTGACCAAATATCGTATTTAAATGTAATAATTGAACTTCTTGTTCAGTTAACTTTTGTTGTTTTTCAAGATTTTCAGGCTTAAATAAACATATAGTACCTAATTGACAATCTAATTGTGGAATATTATCTAATTGATGTGCAAAATTAAATATAGACGGTATTGTTGATTGTTTATCTGTATCTGTAAATAAATTTGAATAATAAATATTAATAATATCTTCAGCACCTGTCGAAGAAAATGTAATTGCTGGCCATTTAAAATATAAAGCTAATACAATAGCATATAAACCACCTGAACTAAAACCACTGAATATATATTTAATATTATCTTTATTTTTATAATTTAGTTGAATTTTATTAAACATTGAAATAGCTTGTGGCAAATAATCAAGACCAAGTTGCTGACGTATAAAACGAATCATTGATGAAACAATCGATGTACCAAATAATTCTTTATTACCTTGTTGACGATCAACTGTTGCTGCTGATCCAAATAAACTCATCATTTCATTCATTTCATCTGTTAATATAGAATTATGTTCTTGATGACGTATAATAATAAATACATATTGATTATTATCTTGATCAATATTCTAAATAGAAAAATCTGATGAAATAAAAATTTGACTGTTTTTTTTAAATTCGAAATACCTTTTTTTCATATACTTTTAAATGTAATCCTTTAATTTCTAATGATGGGTATGTATTTGAAATAAATGATTGATCAATATCATCGTATAATAAATTATGAATTTGTTTTATTTCTGTATAGTTTTTTAATATATGAGAAAAACATATATTATTTTCATCTTGTTTTTGTTTCAATTGCGATGGAAAAGTGTTTGCTAAACATGCAAGATCAATAACTGACTCAGGAAATTTTAATCCAATTTTAGATTCATAATAAATTGGCAGAATATTATCTTTTTCTAATGAAACGCAAGTTGATGTTAAAAAAGCAGTTATTGTTACAGTCAAGAAATACTTTAAGTTATTCCCAAAACGAAAATAATATGAAATCATTTATACTAATGAAAATATTTATTAATGAACAAACTAGTTTCTATCACATAATCATTGGAAGAAAATATGTTAAAAACCAATGAAGTATTCTTTTTTTTACATGTTCTATTCACAGATGACGCTAGTTGGGACAATAACTTGCAGATAAAATGTAATTCTTGAACACGAAAAACTTCTCTTAACGATACTTTTAAAGTTAATCAAGAGAATTATTTACTATTGGAGACTTTTATAGTCATAATTCATATATGATATAGTAAAGTCGAATAAGAAAAGCTCATCGATGTTAACTGAACGGTTACATGTACAAATCAATAAAATTGAACTAAATGAGAAATGATAAAAGAAAAAAGCGAAACAAGATAGTCTAGAAGCAAAATGTATTTTTAAGAATAGTTTGAATATTTTCTTACGTAACTGATATGTTAAAATATTTTCTTTTTAAGGAAAGAATGCACAAAATGCTATACACACATAACTGAACAAATATCTAAGTAATATCAAACATGTTTGTCATTCGTCATTGGATCGCAACATGTCCAACAGGCTATAAGTCATCTAAGAAAATGCTGTATGCTTCGATGACCTTCGCTCTCATTCTTCAGATCTAAGTCTTCATGTGACATCAATCATTCTGCGTTATTTACGAAAGCTGTGGAAAGCATAATTGAGTATTGATTCTCGGGTGTATCACTGTATTGCAAATTATATGATAATAATCTAATTATCATCGTGAAATCGTAATTAAGGGGGTCCTCTTCTCTTTTCGGATGTTAAAATCAAAATTTTTTCGATTTTTGGAATAGCTTAGAAGTGTTCTCTGTCGCAAATGCTATATGAATGAGGGGTTTGCCATTGTGAGTTATATATTTTTATTAAACGGGACTCTCGAAATCGCTCTGTGATTATTTTCTTTGTATACGAAAGTCTCCTAATGATAATTATTATCTCTCATTCCAAAGGAGATGCGAGCATGAGTGGTCATGGATCTCTCACACTGCCAGTTTTCAATCACTTTAATTGAAGAAAAAAGTTCTGATATAAACAGGAAAATTTGTTTTGTGTTTTTCTCAAAAATAATTTTTGAACAAAAAAAACTAATTGCTTCCCTCTTTTCTACCAATTTTTTAGTACTTTAGTTGAATTGAAGTGCATGCCTTTTCTTTTCTTCAAAATATTGTTTCCAAGAAATTCAGTAGCCTTTAAAAAATTAGTATTAACGAAAAATAACCCGTTTTTCGATATTTTAGTTATCATAAAAAAGTAAAGTATAGTTTGGCGGAGAAAACTTCTGACAATTTTTGGTCTTTGCGACTCTCATGTCTTGCTGAAGGAAACATCTGTAAATCTTCAGTCTATGACAACTTTTGCTTTATTTATTGAGAAATCTAGGATAGAAATCATTTCGATCTACTAATAATAATAGTATCATGGATGGTCTTTTAGCTCGAACTGAGCTACTCAGAAAACGAAGACCGTTATGGAATTTTTTATTTTTGGAGCTGAGAGTTTAGCATTTTACTACGAAATGAAGCAACATACAAATAATTTTTCTATATAAAAGTTCTTTACTTTTTAACAAACTTTCACAATGACTGGTCATTTCTAAGCAAGCATAACTACATTGAATAATCAGCTAAAGTCAGGATGACATTCGTTACTGGCATTGAATTCTGCATCAAATAGTGTATTTTTCACTAGAATCCAACGAGAAAAACAAATTTTAACCAGAAAAGTCTTCAAAAAGCATGAAATTTAAACTTTTGATTCACTAAATATTCCATTTTGTTCAGAATTCGATGCTAGTTTCCAATATATCCAAATATGTAGACGGTTATGAACAAAAACAATGTAAAATGCTTAGTGGTCAAAAACCACCGTGCAATTTAGATATTCATTGAATTCGGTAAAGCAGTATTTCTAGAAAACTGATGCGAATATTATATCAAACTATGCTCATAATGAGTATGTTCGGTGAAGCTTGTTGAATTCTATATATAATGGGCAAAAAATTTAAAATTTTAGTAGGATTTACTTTTCGTGTTTTCTCATCATTGAATAAAGATCATCTAGTTACAGACGAAAAAGCACGTTTCAAATACAAAAGAAAGATTATAAGTGAAAAGCCCACGATAACATTATTTGCCAATACAAGAGAAAAGATAATCTGATATTCTAACTTTCGTACAATTTCTTTTTCTTACGTAAACCGACGAGTTTTGTCCAATCATGATGAAAAAGAAATTCTGCTGAGATGCTGAATTGTTGATGCATAGCAAATATTTAAAATTTGTTAGTTTATCGATGAAACTTTTCATTTGACTCGAACATGTTCAGTATTCTTCAATTACAAGACACATGCTTCCGTTGTTAGAAAAACAATTCGTCTCATCATATTAAAAAAAACTAACTATTTCCAATGGTATCAGACCACGTACAAAAAACAGTATCAATAGACAAAACTCTCTGTTCTATTACGGCTGTCAGAAGTTCCGCTACTGAATAAAAAGTTCATAAACTTCGATTCTTTTGTCTGATATTTTGATTGCAAATAGACCTCGCTAAATTCTGATCATAAGCAGCAATCTGAGATCGATAAGACTTAATGCAAAGTATTTACGATGAAGACACTGCTTTTTTTTTCCTTAGAATCGAAGAAAACCTTTTTTGACACATTTCTAATTTCCAACTATTTAAATGGATTAACCTCCATTTTCTTATTAACAAATAAAAATTTGCATGTCTATATTGTGTCATAGAGCTTCATCGATGGCTGCGAGCATGAAATTTTGAGAAAAAATTTGATTGGATCAGGACACTTATGTCAAGATCATGCAACGATTACTTAATAAATCAGACAAACTAAAACCGTTTTGACACGGAATTTCTATTGGCGATAGCGACAATGTTGAACTGTCGAATAAGAGGCCTAACATCATAAGATATGTCTTCTATGCTGAGATATTCCTGTCTGAAGATGAAAATCTATGTTGACTTTCTAGCTCCTTCTCATGAATATCAATCAAGTCCTGATTAGTCCTCGTTCACTAATACTTAAACATATCTTCTATTTAGTCCTTATTTTAAAACAGTTTTCAGCGACTGCAACTGCTTGAAAAAATCAAAGCAATCATTCACATCAAGAAATCTTTAACAGAGAGTAAGCGAATTCATTGATCTTTATTAGAATTGTGCGAAAATCAGTAAAAATCAATTAGTTTTATTTTTGTTGTTACACACATTACAATTCAATCAAAGATTCATGATAACAAGACGACCTTTTTTCCATGAATAAAGCTAAAACAGGCCTATAGAGATCATCAAAAGTATCCTCTTATAACTTATCAAAGGATGGGAAGAGAGAGAGAGAGAAAATGTATATTTTTCTTTCCATTTTCATTTATTCTCTATGTTTATTTGTAATTCTTATCATAAGTATAAACATTCCTCTAGTTTTGATTGTACTCTACATTCCATGAGAAAAAAAGTCAGCAAGAAATAAGATTAGCAGCAGTGGTATGATTTTTAGCCATAGAGGGGCTGAACCTCCTCAGATCTCCTGTTGTGATGCCACTTAGTAAGAAATTATCTTGTTTTTTTTATGCAAAACAAAATTTTATATAGGCCTCTAGTTATTGGAACGTTTCCTATTTTCAATAAAATTTGATGAATTGATTTTTAATAGTCATATACGAATGAAACTATTTATGGTGTTTAGAATACAAGAATTGGAAGTAATAGAAGATTAATAATAAATATATTAGTTATGGTCAATGTAATTTTACCAAGATACTAGAGTGTGGAAAGACTACGGATATCTATCAAACAAAAACAACGAGATTTATCATTGCTCGTATCATTTTGATTTCTTACTGCTCATACCATTTTTAACTACAATCCGCCAGCAATAACGATAGGAAGAAGCAATCAACTGCTCTTAACACTTCATTTCAGTTCAAGTTGAACTTCAATCTATAGTGATACAATCTGTCTTGATATTGATCCAAATGTATCGAAAAACAAGAAGAACTCAATGGAATGCAATTCAGTATTTGATCTATGAAATTATAATTTCATCAAAAAGAAATATTTACATCGCTGTCCAATACTCGGAAATCAAACTAATCGATTATTAAATTTAATGCTTCTTTTGTAGTTATTGACATATAAAAACAGGTTTTTCATAATTCCATAATGCTTGATGACAAAAAGCGTATGAGAAAAAAACATATATTTCGTTATGTAGAAAGAAAATTCAAAATTATTCATTAGAAACTTGTTTCAAGTTTTGAACAAATCATATTTAATTATTCCGACTGAGTCAAAATGATTGCAAGATCGAATTATTTGCAAATATCTCAGCGCAGACAAGTCATAGTTTTGAATATTATGCTACAATACCTCGTCAAATTCTCTACGATAGTTAAAGTAAAAGATTCTTTCGATTTGTGATAATGAATTTCGAGAAAGCTGAGATGAAAGTTATATAAGATGCTCTTGTTTCTTAATTTAACAATAATATAAATGCTTCAGAAAATACAAGTTTACTATCTAAATCAAATCCATTGTATAAAAACTCATTCTTGAATCATATAATCCGAGTAAAATGATTCTCTTGATGTTTGAAAACTGACCCAAAAAAAATGAATCCAAACAAAAGAATTAGAGTATCTTATAAATCTTTCATGTTAGCTCTCTCTAAGTATATTATTACAAGTCAAAAGAATTTTTTATTTTACCTATTGCAAAGAGTTTCATTATGAGTCTTTAAAAAATTTCAAAAATTTATTATTTGTCTTTACTTAGATATTTGCAAATTATCCAATCTTGCATTCATTTTTTCATAGAATACATCAGCGAGAAACACTTGTTATACAAACGAATAGTCTAACTAAAAAGACTTCATATATGCATTGATAATTTAACGAGAGATACATCGTGTACTATATTGATAATACGAAGACTTTGAGATATGATAATATAATAACAACTGTCCACGATAGTGTTTTTTCTTTTTTTTTGTATTAGTAATCTGAGCTTCATCTGTCAAATTGAACTATTGACATGGACATATATACACTGTTTACCTAACACTTTGAAGCAGACACTCCAACCCAATAAAACAGTTTGCTATAGTTAATAAAATGGCAAACAAAATGATTAGATTTCTTATTTAGTTTTGATATGGTTTTGTGAATTAAGCCAAAAACAGACGACTTTCTTTCTTCATCTTTATTGCGAAAACAAATTGTCAATTACTGTTTCGAAATATAATCTAGAATGTCATCGTAATATCTCATTTTCTGGGAATAAGTTATCAATATCTATCTATCTATATATTATCAACACTGCCTTTTATTTGATATATGGTAGATACAAATAACCCACTCTTAATTAACTACAAGACTAAACATAAATTAATCTAGAACTAGTAAGATTTTTTTTTTGTATCACAAAAGAATATTATAATGACGTTGAAGTCATACTAACGAGGAGAAAAAAAGACAATCTGATTAGCTCAACTAAGTCTTTTTTTCCTCCTCAATCATACAGCTGTTGAACACATACAGTCGACCTTCGCATACCATATATGTTCTCCCTTTTCATTATGCACTATCCTTCGAATGGCATAATGAGAGTATATCTATGGTTATTTATTTGATTTTATTAGCAAATAAACATCATTTTTTTTATTATGTAAACGTATTTTCATGCTTGTTATTATCATTGAAACATATTTTTCTCATTTAAACAATAAATATCAATGATCTGTAGTTAAATCTGTTTATCAATACAAGTATCCGTTTCTTTTCTTTTTTCCTTTTCTATTGAATTTATGTTCGCACATGCTTATTCTCTTTCTGTGCTGTTCAATTCGTTATATTGATTAATAGAATGCACAGTCGGTGGCTATGTCCTATCGAGTTCGCTTGACATATGTCTATGAGTAATCATTACTACTCGACGAGGTCAAGCAAATGGACACTCGCGCGATGAACGATAGATGACTATTTCTTTCTATCTTCCAACAAGCATTGTCGCTGACTAACCTTGAACCATATTCGTAAGTGGATAATTTTTTTCTATCACGAGACGAAAGAGAGAAATTGATATTCATGGTGATATAAGAAAAAAGAAGAAGAATTGAACAAAAACATTTTATTGTGTAAATAAATGTATGTCTTAGTTACGAAAAAAGGGTAACTATTGTTGTTGATGAAATGTGCTTATCATGTACACCATCGACTAAAGAATAATAACTCGATATTATTCTAATCTAGATAAATTAGAAAAGACAAGATAAAACGCTATAATTACAGACATGACTTTTTTTATATGAGAAAAACACATGTACTCTCGGTTGATAATATAAGATCGAAACATACGTTTTATATCTCTGTCCTTGTTCTATCAAAGAAATAATAAATGATAAGAAAAAGAGAGAAAAGTAGAAATAGTTATGTTTGCCAGTCAAATGGCATAGACATTTGTCGTTCTCTTATAAACGGTGGTGGTATACAAGAAAATGATTGATTGATAGATAGAACGCACGATTAGAAGAAGCAACATTCTTTATTGATCGAACATATAGACAAATACGTTCAGTATTTTGTCATACTCATCAACTATCTTTAGAAACTAATAAAAATCATATTACTATCGTAGCAATCAAGTAAATGAGAATAGGTAAGTAAAACCAATATTCATAATCGATAGTAAATTGTAATGACTATCATTATGGTATATCTTACTCTTTTTGTATTGTACAATAGATGAACTCATTTTTGTTATGATGAATAGTGAGATAAACAGAGAATAGAGTGTACACGAAACATCAATTACATAATGAAAAAAAAATGTATAAAGCTAGACTATACTCTTGTTTTGTGCTTACAAAATGTTCATCTGACGATGATATGTCAATAAAGTAGACATGAAAAAAGAAAATGAGAGGATTAGAATAAAGAAAGTGATTATTTTGTAGTTTATGCGGTCATATATTTTACTTTCTTGCATTATGTGCAGTTTCTTTGTTTTTTTTTTTTTTTTTTTTTTTGATAGATCGCCTCTAGTTCTTGTGTCTGTTAGCATGTTTCTTTAGTTGACATTCTGCTCTTTTTCTCTTTCCGTTTTTTACTTGATTGCACAATCCCAATTGTAAGATGACGAGAGGTAGACGATAAGAATAGCAGGAAGAAAAACGGTAGCTACAAATTAATACAATAGTATAAATGATGCGAAAAGCAAAAAAAAACTATCGTCATTCGTCTTCTTAACTTTCAAGAGAATAAATGATTAGTCTCGAAAGATTTCAAATGTTCTTATTGATTTCTATACTCTTAGTTCAATACGTAATACTAAATGTAATTGAAATGATTTTTTCATTAAGCTAAATGTACTTGTGCATATTCAATCAAAGTGAATTGATGTGCACAAGAATAAGAACGACAAGACACCAAGAGAATTTTATCTTTGATTCTTTTTCTTTCTTTTATATTTCATATTAGTTATGATTACTGTTTAACAATCGACGATCATGAGTATATTAGTAAGATTAAAGAATAAACTTCACGATCCATCGTTATATGAAGTAAAATAAAATCCTTTTTTTATCTGTTTTTACTAAACTAATTTTTATGGTTTTTTTTTAGACGAAGATTCGTGAATTTGATGAATGTATGTTACTTCTCAAAACTGAGAATGTCGAATTACACAAGCGTATTGATCAGCTTGAGGCATTGGTAAATAAGAATATATCCAGCTGTTTCTTATATAATTATATTCTTGTTTTTATTATTTGTTTTCTTCTATGTATTAATTAATAATAGTATAAAACAAGTATGAGAACTCAACAAAAACACTTTCTTGAAGAACATATACGACAACTTGAACAAGAAAATGAAAGACTATTTGTTGAAAATCAATGTCAACGACAAGAATATGAACGTTTCTTAAACCAATTAACAACAATGGTTATACGAACAGCTGTCATGCAAGAAGTAGGAAAATACATAAGATTTGTGTATTTGTTTTTTCTTTCGATTTGTTTTGATTCAGAGATAATCTTATCGATTTTGTTGATAGAAAATATAAAGACAATCTGTAGTTAATTATTGAAAAAAGTTTGATTTTCGTCATATGCCTTGTAGTCATTTCCTACATTGACAGGAAGTATTGCAACAGACTGTAGCAACATATGTCTTGGAACATTTATTTCTCTTTCTTTTGTATAGATGATGGTTAATGATGTGAGATCAACAATCATAGATAGTAATTTTTATTTCTAACATAAAGACGGATGTAATAGAAGAACTCATCAGCATTGATTCTTTTTTCCATTTTTCATATCAAAATAATAAATGAATCGAGAAATTATCTTTTAGCTTTTTTTATACATTTCTTTTTACACAATACAAGGACAATTCATTAATACAATAAAAAAAAGACAATGAGGACAATCTTTCAGATGATGCCGACGATATAACGTCATATTCAAATAATATTCTTTGTCAAAGAGTTAGCACACACGATTCAGATTGCTGTCCATCGCTAGACAGGTCATAGTATCATTCTTTAAATAAATAATCATGTTCTATCTATCTCATTGAATGATCAAATTCAACGTTATTGTTTCCCAAGAGATTTTTTTTCTTTCATCGTTTTACCTTGGTTCATGTTGATGAACTGTAAATAATATGCATAAATCAAGAACATGTAGATTCTTTTTTGTTCATTTCATTACAAAAGAATAAAAAAGAAATTCTTTAATAATGATTAATTTTTAGAATATTCGTAAAGAATGTGCATCAATTTATCATATAATTGAACGATTATCATTTTTAACAATAAATGCAATTCGAACTAAACATCCATTTGAAGTTATAATCAAAGAAAGAAGAAAAAGTTTATCATGGGAAAATTTAAATAAATCTTGTGAATTTATTTCAAATTATCGAAAATTACCGAAATTAACTAAAGACTTAATTCATTCTCCATCATCATCGAATTCATCATCAACGACTCATTGTTCAATTTCAACATCGGATAGTTGGACACTTGATTTAGTATGTTTATTGAATATTTAAAAGTCAAGAAATAATTTTCCTTTCTCTTGTTTTATAGTCATTCGATAATAAAGATGCAAAAAATCAAATGTTAATTTCAAATAAACCAACAGGTAAGAGGAGGAGAAGTCGATAACTAATGAAATCGATCCCCTAATAGAAATATGATTTCTATCATTTCAAACTCTCACTCAAGGTATTCTAATGTGATATCTGCTTGAATTAAACCTATACGACTTGTTTATCTTGTGTACCGATTGATTGAAATAGTCAATGACTATTGAACGTACACTATATCCACAGTAGTTGTTGAGGATGACTAACTCTTTTTACCGACCCATCAGAAGATCGATCAGACTAGTTTTCATATGGTCCAATAGCGCTTTTCAACAAATACAAAATAATATAAAAATATCTGTGCAAAAACAATGGCTACCAAAATAAGTCCCAAAAATATTGTATCCAAGACATGATTTTATGATTGTTTCTGCTTGGTATTTAGTAGATTTCGACTAGAAAAGTACGACTAGAATAATAACCAATATGATATTCTGAATTAGCATCAAAAACTGAGTGGATTTACGTGATCGTCCAATATTTTCGTGAGCTTTTTTTTCGTTGAAGTATTTACTTCTGGTACCTGAATGATAGTTTGACATTACAGAAATCATGTATCTATAGGAGGCTGATTTCATTAGCCATCGACCCCTTCATTTTTATTAAAAAAATCAAAAATATATTTTACTATTGTTTTTTTTTTTTTTATAGAAGAAGAAGAACAACAAGTTCTTCAACGTTCCGAAACATTTACAGTTTCAAAAATACCACAAGAAAAATTATCTTTACCTCTTTCGATGCCAGATAATGATCACAATGCTCAACATCATCCTATAACTCGAACAATAGCTCCAACAACATTAACTATTGTTCGTCCTTCTAGACTGCCTTCACGTTGTTCAAATTCAAAAATACAATCATCAAATAATAATCGTTCATCGTCAACACAAAAAATGTCAAAATTACCAATTCGAACAATAAACACATTGAATCAACAACAAACTTCAATTAAGAAGTCAAATATTCCAACACACACAGTAACTAAAACAAAGAACGAAGGAACTTTAGTATCTAATTGTTCTAACACTTCAACGAACAATAATAATAATAATGATAATACGATAATAAAAAAAACAATTCGACCACCATCGATTGTTCAACTTCCCTCACATAAAATTCGATCACGTTCGACTACAATAACTGATAAAAGTAATACAAAAACAACATCTTTATTAAATAAATATACAAAAACAACCGGAGAGACCGTAAAATCTAATGATCCTATTCAACAGATGAATTCAACATCAAGTGAATCCAGTATTGAAGAACGACAACATGTAAATAAATTCTTATCGATTGTACAAGATGATGGATATTCTACATGGTCATCTATTGATGTAAAAGATGATGGAATAATGAATAATATAACGAAAAATGAAACTAATGATAAACAACGAAATATTGGACTTATTAAAACTTGGCTTGATACATCGAAAAGACAATATTCTAGCAAACCGGTGAACGAAGGTATGTGCTAAATTTATAACTACGTAGAAAATCTTCATTATAAAATCATTTTCCATCGATATACTCGCCATTCTAATGTTCTTAAATTTCTTCAGATAACATCTCATGTTATTCGAGCCGGACAAAAACCAGCGGTATTTTGATACTTAAACAGTTGGCTATCCTCTGACGATAGTGTTCTTTTACCGGCGATAGTGCGAACAAGCGTATGGAAGAATATCTCTACCTTTTAGCTACCTTGTGACATATCCAATAGTTCAATATCTTTCCTATAACTAATACTACCTGTAGCTATGGACAGAAGACCGACCTAATGCAGATTTCTTGCTTTCCGTGAATTGAACTCACTCACCACATGCTAGTCACAAGAACGGGTGTATGTGACAATGTAATCAACATGTTGTCAGACGTGTGAAAAGAGACAAAAATAACCGTTAGTGATGTGTCTAGGATGATTCTATGACTAGTGATATAAAACTTTGTACACAGAGCGGAAGTATTGTGAAAAATCCTAGAACTGTATTTTTATACTCTTTATGATATTTTTCGTCCTCGTACAATTAACACAAAATAATAATTACATAGAGAATTTTAGAGATAAAAGAGCCCGTCTTCAAGCATTAAATAGTCTTATGAAGTCGATTATTTCCACTTGTCTTTATTACTTTGGATCATCAGACTGTGTAACTAATCATTAACAAAGTAGCATATGATGCAAAAGTAATTGGACGAATATCGGCTTCTATTTCTCTATGATAGAAAGGTACTGGAAGAGAAATTTTTTGTTATCAGAAGATAAATAACTTGTTCCTCTTTTGAACCGTAAATAATTTATTTTTATCAGATGTTCATTAATGAAATGAAGCAATACTAAACAACAGCATCCTCAAAGTGAGTCCACATTTCTCACAAAATATAGGATAACGGTAAAAAAAAACATTAAATCCTATATCTCTTTAGTAAACAAACGTTGTAACGAGTCTGTTTTACTAGATGTTACGAATTTTTATGCTGTTTTGAATTTTCTATAACCTAATTTTGTTATACATTCATAAATAAAATGACACAAGTAGAAAGAAAAACATTTGTAAAACAAATTTGCAAATTTTTTTATTGATCCATCAAATAAATTATGTAAAACAACAGTTAATTATTTATAAAGCAAGGCATTTCAAGAACAACAATTTGTTACGTATTGAATAAATATTTGAAATATAGGAATAATCATCCAATAAAACCTTCCAATCAAAATGTAAAACATTTAATGAAATTCATTAATAATTATCATGATATTATCAGTCATAACTAGTGATGAACGAAGCAATTTTTTTCGGTTCTAATTTCCCACTTAGTAATACATATACTAGCGAAAAATACGATATCATTTTCTAGCAGTGGCAATGTGCTCGAGACATTTTACACAAGCTCCTATGTTCTCCCTCTTGGAGATTCATTAATCTTTCTAAAAAATTCTTGTTCCAACGCTTGTTTACTACGGAGATATATGAGTTAATATTTTTACCGTTATTTTGCATTATATGAAAAAATATGGATTCATTTTCAAGATACTTCTGTTTTCCACTGCGTCATTTCATTTATGAAAGTGTGATCAATATAAGTAATATAGCGTTCGAAAGAGGAATAAATTCTCATCCGTCTAATAAACAAAAGTTTCCTTTCAGCGCCTTTCTCTCAACGAGACATAGGAGACGACATTTTTTCAATTGTTTTTAGATCAAACTCCTTTTTTTTTATGATTCGTACTTCAGATCAATGTTCGAAAGTAAGTGTGTGTAAGATGCTCAATTAATTCATTGAAAAGAATTAGACGCCAGAACAATCTTCTATTCTGTGCTTTATTTTATAACCATGCAGGAAATAGATGAGCATTTCAACAAGTTACCGGTTATCTAAAAATAAGTACGAATGAAATTTTCTGATCACTAGGTTGATTAATATTACTTGACATTATCGAACTTTTTCTTTGAATTTAAATAGTATTCAATTAAAATAATATTTCTATACTTAATATTTTAGTTGAAAACAATAAATATGAACACAGTTCATCATTTCTATATCCATCTGCTCGTAATTGTTATTCAAATGATATATCTATACCTCTTACATCAACAACAATTTCATCATCAAATAAAGATATGTCACTTGATAGTCTCGATAGTCCACAATCAAAAGAACAAATAATTCTATCATCAACAACATTTTCTCGTTCTGAAACATTTGATAAAGTACTTACTACACCATCATTACCAAATATTACAGATGATGTTGATGATTTAACTAGTTCATCATCATCATCATCATCAACATTTAATATGTCCGAATATATTGAAGATCATTTTATTGATGAAAATGATAGTAGTAGTGAAAATTCATCATCATATGAAACAACAATAACAAATAGAAATCTTTCAGTAAAACCTCAAAAACGTCTTTTATTTCCTGGTTTATTAAACCGTTTAATATTTTTTCGTCGAATTTTATCGGATTCTGATTTACAACAAAAAAAATTTTTCCTCAATGAAAATGAAAATCAATTTCATGTTTATCATTCAAATATAATAAATGAACATTCCGTTGAAATTAATCTAATGAATACATATGGTTCTGATAGTGAATTACATGTTTGGTCAAATAATTGTGCTGAACAAAGAAAATTTCTCTTTGAACGACAACAACAACAATTAATAAATCAAATTAAAGAAAATAAAATACATCATGAAAATTATAATCAACAATTAGCACTTGAACGTCAAGTATTACTTCAACAGATATATGAATATCCATGGTTATTACAGGAAAATGATCTTGATAAAACGACTTTAATTTCATCGGCAAACATGGAACAACCATTAGTATCACCTTCATCTGATCTAATTGTTCCAACACATAATCCAGATTTTTATCAATTATGTGCATTAACAAATAGTAGTTCATTTGTTATATCGTATGATCCTAATGCAAAACACACTACTACTCCGACAACATCATCTATTTTATAATATGGTTTCTCTTTTCTTTTTTTCTTTTCTCTTTCGAAAATAAAGAAGTAGAATGAAAAGATAATTGCATTTTTATGTAGTATTGGACACGATTCAATATGAATAAATATACTTTCAATATGAATATAAAAATAAAAAAAGAGATACATTATTCATTTGTGTCTTATTGAATTGTATGAAACATTGATCAATTTGAAGATTAAAAGAGAAAGTTATAGTTAAATAAAACTAAAATATTAATTTAATTGTTGTAAGAATATAGAAATTATTCAAATTCAAACAAAAAAGACCTTTGTCAAATAGACAAACTTACATTCAAGTGAACTCTTGTAAATATTTTCCTAGATGTCTATTCAATCATATGCATTGGTTCTATTGGTCTATTTGATAAGATCATTGCAAAAAGGCCCGATGTATAGAAAAAAAAAACGAAAGAAGAGTCATGTTTATGTTTTCTTACGTTTCCGCAAACATCAAGCCAGATAACGAATATATATTCAAAATACAATACACGTTAATTTCAAACTTGAACAATGAATGCCAAGACAAAAAACCTTAATTGAATAATTATACTAAAGTTATCATATCTATCTACTTTTTTTTCTCATCGATTGTTGTGAAAGCCTTCAAAGACTGAACAATCAAAGCTTAATTTTTTTCTAGATCGTTATTTTGGTTGATAATTTACATCTATCATTATGTTCTTTGTCATAGAATGTCTCAAGCAGACATTTAAATTTTAAATTTTTATGCAACATAATAAAAGTACATATTGACTGATGAATTATTTTACTTTCTTTTGCTTCTTTCAAAAAAAAAAACAACAATCTTCATTTAATACATTGACTCTTTCAAAACTGACCTTCAAAATACAATGCTACTCTTGTTTCTAATAGTATATCTTAGACCATCATTAGCTCTTCTTATTTCTACCGAAGATCGTATTTCTTTACGAAATCTGACATGTCAACATGATCAATCATTAATAACAACTATATTATCGAATTGTGAAGCATGCCTTATAATATCGCGTAATTATATTATTGAAACAAAACTTTCATTAACTGGTTCTGGACCAGCAGGTTTTTCCTATAGGTGTCTACAAGTGAATGAAGTTGAAGCTTATCATGAAAATCTTATACGTGAATGTCGTAATTTTCCACGAAATACACTCAATGGTTATAATGATTTTTGTATAGCTTCACCATATACTTATCTTCGAGGTTCATATCGAGCTTGTATATGTATCACAAATGCATGTAATTTTAATTATGCACAATGTATTCGACAAATAAGTTCTTCTTTGAATCGACAATCATCTTTATTTAGTAATACAATTGCTGAATTGACAGAGAAAATTAAATGCTATCGATCTAATGAAGATATTAAACAAGAAACATCTTCAAGTTTAACATCATTATGTTCAGATGATGATAATGAATGTAAAAATTATTTGTTTAATAATGGTGTTTTATGTACGATTAGTATTGATCGAACTAATCGAACAACTAGACAACCTTTAGTATCATCAATTTATACAGCTTATTTAACAAAATATAAAACAGAATTATGTAATTCATTTACATGGACAACAAAAAGTATTTATTTTTCACAATGTAAACAAGATGATGTTGTATGTATGTGTGCATTTGATGGATGTGATAAAGATTTAGAGACATGTCGAACAAGTCAAGGAATTTGTAATAACTATTATGCGATTTTATTTTTGTTGATATTTCTATTAAATATTTCTAGTTGAAATAAATATCAGATTATTCTTTCTTTAAATAAAGTTGTCTAATGGAAGTGCTTTATATCTCAAGATAAATAACAAGATTATAATTGTTGAGATTTAAATAGATCTTACTTTAAATTGTGTTTAATGGTAGTGTCAAAGGGAATCTGAGATGGCCTCTCACAAAATTTGTAAATTTATTGCTAACCTGTGATCTCATAGCAGCTCTGAGGGCCAGGTAATCCTCTCTTGGTAAAAAATGCTGGTACCACTGCTAATCGTGTTGTATTCAATAGCAAAAAATTATTCAAATGACATATGTTCAGGACAAAATTTTTAGAAATAGGAATAATGTAGAGTATCTGAATGTTTTTATATTTGATCCATAATGTCGATGAGAAAAAGATGTTTCATCTGATAGAAAATCAGTAATGACGAGTTGTCGTACTATTCCATCTGCGATCAATGATCTGTGGCGTAATCAACTTCAGTAATATTTCATTACATATCCTCTATGAGATAATAAGAGCAAAAAAGTAAATAATATATATTGGTACCGGTTTCGTCTCTGGGTGGGAAGATAGTGTGAAGTTTTTGCATGGCCCAGTGAATATGTAACTTTCTTTCACGGAAATGACTTTCTTTCTACTCAAGAGTGATTGCATATCACTTAGAAAGTCGTTGTTAAGAAAAAGAAAGAATTTTGGAAAACAAGCATTTTTCGGCGAAAAACACCTGAAGGGAACCTTGTCCACAAATTTTTTCGTTAGAGAATGTTTCGTGTCATACATCATGTGACTTAGTTTCGCGTACTGATGCCGAATATACTACTGATTTTCAATACAAGTGCTTTGGAGCCTTAAAACAATAGAAGTTTAGTGGATAAACCAAGGCTTTTTGGAAAGCCTACTGTATTTTTCAAGAATATTTATGATAATTGTGATCATAGAAGGAATAGCGATTGAACACTCTAACACAATTTAAACAGATTTCGATTGATGCGCACGTTCGTTTTACTGAGCTTAACCGTTAAGAAAATTAGTTTAGGAAAAACTTTTAACTTTTTTTCTTCAAATCACATATTCAACTTAGAAGATTTCTTCGAGGATCGATACCGGGCAATATGCAGATTCAGAAAAATCTACTGGCTGTGGCTACCAAGTGATTTAACTTTGTTGAAATTCATTTTTCTCATAGATACCAATATTTTCAGGCTAATAAGGAGATTTATCACTGTTTGATTCGATGAAAGGATGACTTTTGTTTTTTCACCTAACGTCGGCCTAGATGCATTCTATGAAAGGAGGGGAGTGCAGTATGGTTGAGTTCCAGTAAAAGAGACGTTGTGTGAAATCTAGTCTAATATAGTGTTTTTTTCGCTCAGTTGTTTAAGAATGTCATATATCTATTGTTAATATACTGACTATTTTGAAATAAACTAAAGCGGTCTATATATGCTGTAATGAGTAAAATATTTTAGATTAGTCTATTGCTTGATAACTTATAATTTTAACCTTGATACATTTTATGTAATTACAAGATTACCCACGGTATGTACTGGTAGTCAAAATAGTGTTCTATCATTCTATAGTATTTCATCATTCTTCAGTTGGTATGATAATATTAGAATTTTGATCAAAGCTGTTCACCTCTAATTTAGATAGATAAACAAAAATTTCTCTGCTACAATAAATCCCATAGTGTACTATATATTCAACCGAGAGTTATTCATGATAAACTATATTTTGTTTTCGGTGGCCAAGCTCCACCTCTTAGAACAGTTGAAAGATTATATGAATAATTTCGTGAAGGTCGAAAAGACGTTTTTAATGGTTTCCATGACTTTGAACATCATGAAATATGAGTCTGGAATTTTCCAACTGACAAATTTCCAGTCATTGTCAAAATCTCAACTCTAAATATTGAGCTAACTCCTTTGCATCATACGATAAGAGGCGTGGGTCATGTTGAATGAATTAATTATGCTCACGAAACGTTAGTCAGGTATTAAAAATTAATTTCGGTCTAAACTAAAGGTTTTTCATCTCGAAATTTTGAGCGTACTTTTCTGAACTGTTTTTACCTGATTCTTATAAAATCCCAATAGTTAGTAGTTATCAGTTCATGCTTTCATTGGAAAATATGAGAAAAAGATCTGTTCTGTTGACAAGATCTTGCCGAATATCATCCTCGTGCAATTGTGAAAACATTTGGATATGATAAAACCTTAATATAGGAAGTCTCATAAAAAAAAACGTATTTTTTTAGCTCACTTTATCTTCCTGTCACCAATAGTATCCTTTTACGAGCTGAGCTGCCTTTCTGCTGTGTTAAAGTCAGCCAAAGGATAGTATAGATGTTATCTAATATTATGTAATCACTATGAGTTACTAGATGAAACGTGACAGACTAAAGTAGGACTTGTTACTATCGGAAACTCCTAGAGTTATACGAGTTTTACATAGTATGTCGACATAGAACTGAACTAATAGACTGTTGCTCGAAATAAGTAATTGCTTAATTGACACATTCAAGCGCAAAGGTCGATCCAGTTGAAAAAAAATCCAACCGGTTTCAAGTATGGTTGTCTTACAATTCATATAGTAATCGATACTACAGCTTGATTAAATATCCTAACTAGATAATTTAGTTCTTGTTGATATTCTGTTAGTATTGCTCAGTCAAGTTAAAAGAAATAAAAGCATTGATGAAAAGAAAGACATACAAATATATACCATTCAATGATCTTTTTTTTAATATTTTTTAGATATATAATCGCTGAACAAGTCAAAAACATCATATTGCTTCTTTATCTTTTCAATATTATCCATTGTTTGTAATCTAACAACTGAAAAAGGCATTGAAATAATTGTTCGTTGTCCTTTTCGTTGATTTTATATAAACATATATAAAAACGAAAAATGCTCTTTGAATTTTTTTGAATTAAAACTAATAATAATAAAAAACAATCGAATCAAGTCAAATGTATTTGAATACAGTTGAGACAGAATTGTAACTACGTGGCGATGATTATCACTCGATCTGAATTTTCTTGTTAAAAAACGACTTGATTTCGACAAAAAAAATTGTGTGCGCGCGGTTGTGAATGAAGAGAAAACTTACACGAACACTTACAAGTACATCTTAAGCGAATCAAATATTATCATAGTTCATCATATGGGATATTTTTCTGATTCAAGAGTTAAAATTAATACTGATATGAGTGTTCAGCTCAGTATATATTTTAAAATAAAAATAAATATGTGAAAAAGAAAAATGCTTTTGTTTTGTAGTGATCTTAATATGGTTCTATGTTGTTCATCGGCAATAGATTCATCTGAAGCTCGTTGTGATTTATTCGGTATTATAGATGTTCATAATAGTACATGGTTTGAGCATTCGACATCTTATGCAAAACCTTTATCTTATAATGATTTAACTGAAGATGAGATTTTCCTAGATAATTTAATTGTTTTTTTTTGTCTGTGGATTGCAGACATTTTGATGACAAACGTGCATTATCTTTATCATCGGATGACGATCTTATTCAATTTTATGCTTATGTTTTTTATTATTATTATTGTCATCGTAGTATACTAACAACAACGTGTTGTCTATTAATCTTCTGGGTTTTTTAAATTACTTTCCTGTAAAAAGAAACAAACGAAAAGAAATGTTTTCAAACTCGAAATACAATTCTTTTACATAGAATATATTATGTTTCGATATATTAGACTGAAAGATGACAGGAAATATGAACGATGGTGATACGTCAGATTTAGAAAAAAAAGTTGTGTATCTCTTTGATTTTGATACATGAAATAAGCGAAATTTACAGAAAAAAAAGAGAATTTCATCGTCCAGCAACGGAAATAAACGATGTTTTGCAGTAGAAATATTTAGATTTTATGTGGAGAAAACGTGATGAAAAAAATTGTTGTTATTCGTCTGTTACTTTTCTGCTGAATAGTACTATTGAATAGCTGGGTCATATTAGAGCATTGTGCAAATACAAATACAAAATGTACTCTAGTGAAATATTACCCCCATAAATCTAGCATTTGAGATTTTCTTTCATCAAAGTCATCCATCCAATTGCAGTCTAATGTCTTCTCAACAACACTTCCTGATATATACTCATCAACCTAAATATGAGGTCATAGAATGAAGAATTACAGAAATTGTACTCTGCATCAACATGTGCTCACATAGAGTTATTGATAAAGAAGACTATGCATCGAACATAGATGTGGATGAACAAAAACACATCGGTCACACCCACATGCATATCAATATCGATTGATTGACCATTGAAGAATAGATGAAATCGATATCACATCAACCATCGATGTGATGCAAATCAATTATGTTCCCTATTCGTCGTCGATTATCAATCTTTTAATTGATACAAGCACATTTGAAATCATGGGCTAATCATTCATCGATGGTCATCGTCGATTGACACTTTATTATTAAAACATAAGGAGCGATTTTCGTCTACCACTTCATTCTATTTAGTCCATTAGCTCATGATCAACAGACTAAGTAAGTACACTAATATTTTTTCCTTTTACGATTACAATAAATGAAGTATTAATAATCATACTTTAGCATTTTAAAATTCCATTTTTGACACTAATTATGTTTACAATGTTCGGAAGCTGAATTGCTGACTTCGATGATATCTTTCAGTCGAAAAACAATTTATTATTTAATTTACGCAGCGATTTATATTTCAATTCCAAAAAGAGCATTTTGTTTATAGTTTTTTACTCTGAAAAAATACAGAAACAGAATAGTATTTGCTAAGTTTAGTTTCTTTTTAATCCAGAGAGAGAATATATGAGTTGAGAAGTCATAGAGACTAGTAGAACTTCTCAAGATAATTTTTCGATAAGTTAGACATCAGCTGGTCCGGATGGGATAATGTTTTCACATTCATTCATATATTGATCGAAATATATGAAAATCGAAAAATTACTTAGGTTAACCTGTTTTTCATAGCAATGTTGTTGCGTGGTAGCAATAGGTACCCGCTTATGTGATAGCTCGTCAGATGGCTTCGTAACCTGGCCCAGAGAGACTCAAATGCCTTCTCTAGTGATAGCAACGTATTACTTGGGAAGACCGCTATGTTCTAAAGACCCTGTCATTGTTATTCTACGTCATATGTACAATCCACTTTGCATATACTCGCTTCAGGTTGACGGAAGAGCCTTCATGGTCGCGCACGCAAGTGCAATCATCAGTCGAGTAAAGCTGGAAGCAGTGAATGTTATTTAGAATGAGTTTATGGAGGAAATCAGGGGAGGAAAACAAATTTACATCTTTTTTTCTTGCATACCCAATAATATCTATCGTCGTTTTAATTAGACGGTGTGCTGGTGGAATTGATTTTTGTCGGATACCGAGTGCCTTTTCTAGAAATGAAAGTGCTTTCGAGTAATCACCCATATTGTTGTACGCAAGACCAATACCTGTATAGGCATTATTCAATAAAGAATGGCCTTCCGGAAAAGTTTCTCGCTTGATTTCGATACAGTTTTTATAAGATGAAACTGCTTCTCTGTATTGTTCTTGGTTCCGTTTTATCATCCCAAGCATATCATAGATCAAGGCTCTATTACTGTCACTGGAAGTGTTCTTAAATAGTTCATTTCAAAGCTCTTCAGCCTGTTTGAAATGACCCACTTTCAGCATCAATTGACCCATTTGATACCATCCAGTAGATCTCTGAGGCCTCTTGTCGCATGCGGTGGGTTAGAGCAATTAGTTGCGGATCATTGTCATCGATGAGGGCGAACAGTGTAGTTGAAGCCAACAGTTTACTCGGATCGATAGCCACAACAAAAAAAGCATCCACAATATTTTCATATTTTCGTAGTGTATCTTTAACGAACCGCATAGCGACTTGTTCTTTTATTGGAGAAATTTAAAAAAGATATCATCCTGATTCTTTCACATCGTGTGAAATCAAAAAACAAACAGAAAGTTGTTCCTTTTGTACATCACAGTGGAAAATGTTTTTCAACAAAGAGAACATGTTCTCCATTTTGGTTCTGTAACCAGTCGATCTGTTGAATCACTTCACCTACAACGCATTTTTGGCATTTTATGCTGTAATACTAAGAAGGGATCATCAAAGTTGCTTTATGTTGTACATGTTGGTATAGCCGATAAACCAGCATTACAAGGAGAAACAATAGAAACTTTTTGTTTTCCTAGAATATTACACTCCTCTTACTTATACTAAAGTGAGACTATTTCCCAGATTGTTGATTCCGGTCGAAACTGACTGTATTTGGTGACTTTTCCAGCCTGTTTCTTGCAGAGTCCTACCGAAAATTCACCACCGTATCCGGGAATACTTTTCCCAAGACGATCCCGAAACGAGAAGGCGAAAAAAATGTGGGAATCATAACGTAATAACCCAAAGATTCGGTCGGAATCACCCAGGAACTCAGCGTATCCGACTGAAACCCAACGAATTCAATTTTATATTTCGGCAGGATCTGCCTGTACGTCACGATTTTCAGAAATGCTTCCTGCATGACCAACTCTGTTTCTCTAATGAATTCGCTGAAGTTTTGTCAGGCACCACCCAGTTTCGAGACGCATCACCTCGATTAGGGTGTGGATTTCATTTACAAAAAGCCAATCAACCTCGAAGGAGCATCATCAAAAGCAAAACTACGATACCCCGAACATACATGTAAGAAAACTACACTATCAGCCAACACACACCGGAAACGAAGAGGATCCTGTCGTAGTACTGAAAAAAACCGCACTTAACGCAGCAAAGCTACAAAAGCGTTCTAGTGAAACAAGCCGACCACCAGAGGCATCGAACCTACCACAAAGTTGAATCGCCAAAATAAACCAAGCAAAATCTTCACACTCCACTACCATAACAAAAGCAAAAAAGTATATACTGCACAAAATGATCGATCATATCTGTGTCAAAATCGTAGCCAACATGATTTCTACAACTATCAAAAGTTGAGATCCTCCGAATTAGTGCCGATCCATTAATACTTTAGTAGTGAGCCTTTTTGGTCGTGTGATGATTCAAGTATGCTCACTTCTGATTTTCGAAGCATATAATCACTTAACACGTGGACCTATCTTTAATAAAAAATGTGCAAAAATAATTTCGAGAACTTGGAAAAGTGAGCGGTCTCGCGGCAACTTGGCACGAAAAGAAAATTTAACAGATCTGATCACAATATATTCATCACGCTCAATTCAATTCTCTGCGCATGATTCATGTTTTTAACAGATGTTTGTATGATATAAAAAAAAACGTCAAAACAATTAAATGTATTATTGAAACAAAAGAGATTAAGAACAAAATCAACTCAAACATCCTCCAAATCATGTCTATGCTCAAAAGTATTTGACAGATAAACAAAAGAAAAATTGGGAGCATGCACCATATTTCATTTTGATGTTGCTCGTGCTTTAACAAAAAGTATTTTGAAAAATTAATTCCATTTTTTATGTTCAAACATTTGATATTTGAAATGAATTAAAATAAACTATTGAAATGAATACAAATAGCAAAAATAATCAGTTTGAAAGAAGATCTGGCATTTTAGGGTACGACTGCATTATGTAAGTAATGTCAAGCTCGATTAATACTAGAATGGGTGACCCCCTGAGAAACTCAAGTATCGTAAGTTTTTTTTGTTTTTTTTAGTTAGAAATAAATCACTTTATGAAGAATATTTCTTATTAGATGACATACGAACAAACATATTGAACTCGTTGTATTATTAGCTTGATACTATAATCTCGTTTCCTCGTTCTTTCCAAATGAAACTTATTATGTAATAATTCAATTTCTGAGTAAAAATATGTATAGATGCATATTTCAAGTTTAGATACAAAAACAAACTAAAAAAAATCAAAACCAAGCAAAAAAAGGAAAAAACTTTTGTGGATATTTTCAGTTATGATGATTTGTTATCACCAGTCGATTTTGATGAAGTTCTTTTTGATGAATCATTTTGCGTTGTTGATGAACTACCACTGTCCGTTGTTTTCTTGGGTAACAACATCTATATGAAAATTTAATTTCAAATTAATTATTTAATGAATTTTCTTTACTTCTTGAATGTTCGGCAAAACACCACCTTGTGAAATTGTCACTCCCGATAGTAATCTATTAAGTTCTTCATCATTTCGTATAGCTAATTGAAGATGACGTGGTATAATACGAGATTTTTTATTATCATGTGCTGCATTACCAGCTAATTCAAGAATTTCAGCCGAAAGATATTCAAGAACCTATTCGAATAAAATATACAGAAAACAAACAAAAAGACCGGTATTTCTGAAGCATACGCTTTACAGTGAAGATATGGAAACATTTAAAAGTTAGTGTTTCATCTTCTAGCATTATGCAATATCAAGAGATGCAACAACGCCTCTGTTATGGAGAGCATCTGTTAAACGAATACCAAAAGATCACCTACGAATTATCACTTCACTTACTGCAGCTAAATAAACTGGAGCTCCAGCACCAACACGTTCAGCAAAATGTCCACGACGAAGTAAACGATGAATACGACCCTATAGAAAAGCTTACTATGATTATTTTTAAATTTCAAGAACATACCACTGGAAATTGAAGACTAGCTCTCGATGAACGTGTTCTAGCTTTCGAACGAGCTTTACCACTTCCTGAAAGTTTACCACGGCCAGACATTTTTCTTCCTTGAAAATGATAAATGTCTGGTTTTTTTTGTTGTTTTTATATCAGCTCATCAAAGATGCAACTTTTTCCCAATCTTATTCGTTACTATCATCGAATCATTTTCAAGTTACATCATCAGCTCAGTTTAAATCAATGAAATTCATTTCAACTAACCTCTAGAAGTTTTTTTCTTTTTCGTTCTTTAGCCAATGATATCAATATCTATGTGTCTATATAAAGGGTAGATTTTACAGTTTATCTCACAAATACAACATGCCTCCTAAGACACCAAGTAAAGGTTCTAAAATGATTAGTAAACAAACAAAAGGTAGTGCTAGTAAATCAAGTGCTACTACTGAAAAGAAAAGCAATAAACGAAAACGTAAGTATCAATTTTATAATTATTTTTTTTTTATGAATTATGTATTTGATATTTTAAATAGGAAAAGAAACATATTCAATTTATATTTACAAAGTTTTGAAACAAGTAATAGATTCATTTTTTGAAAAAAAAACTAAACAAATTAATTTAATATTGAATTAGGTTCATCCTGATACGGGTATATCGAGTAAAGCAATGTCGATTATGAACAGTTTTGTTAATGATATTTTCGGTAAGATATTTTCGTTGAAATTTTAATTTTCGTAAATAAGATAAACATCTGTTTTTCTAGAACGTATTGCGGGTGAAGCTTCACGATTAACACAATATAATAAACGTCAAACAATATCATCACGTGAAATTCAAACAGCTGTTCGACTTTTATTGCCGGGTGAACTTGCAAAACATGCTGTGTCAGAAGGCACCAAAGCTGTAACGTACGTGAAAATATTTTCATTTATTTATTTATTTTTCAATATTGTTTTATCTAATTCTTTTTCTATAGGAAATATACTAGTCAAAAATAATCAATAAAACTTTAACATTTTTTTCTTTTCTTTATTTTTTTTTTCGTTGTATTTATATGTGAATATTTCTTTATGTTAACCTTGATGATTTATTGTTATATATAAAATAAAACTATTGATACATAGATAAGAATCAAAACTCAGTTATAAGTGATGTTGTAGTTATAGTAGTTTTCTGAATTTTACAATTAGTTATATGAAGTGGACGGCGACAATGATGATATGTATATTGATTTTCACAGGAATTTTTATGTGGCTTAGGTGGTAATGAAAGTGATCGACGAAGTAGAGGAACGGATGGTTTTCTACGGTGTTTGGAAGTTTGTCTATGTTCATTGAATATCTAAAATGAAATGAAGTTTAAAGTCATAAACAATAAAACTTGGATGAAGTTTCAGGCGAACAGGCACAGTTTAGTTGGTCGAATTATGCGCAGAGAACTACTTCTAGCTGAGTTCAACTATTGTAGGTTCGTTTGTTGGGAAACTCAATACTCTAGAAAGACAGTTCACTCCTGTCTTGATGATGTCAAAAGTCGGTTTTACAAGTTCATTTCTTTTATTTTGTCACTAATTTAAACATAAAAAATTTACTATTACCTGTAAACAATCATAACAGATTGTTTTTGTTTGTGTAGTTGATTTGTTTATTTCTTCATTGTTATTTTCATTGGTAGTTGATGATGACTTAAGTAAATTTTGTATTCGAATAGGAATCAAAAGTTTCCGAGAAGGGGGTACAAAATTTGAATATGAACATTTTTTACATATGATTTGTTGACACATAAAACAATTTTCATAATTATTAAGACGAAGAAATGATGGTAAAAAAAATAATTCATTAATACTTTTTCGACATCGAAAACAAATACGACCATTACGAATTTCTGAATATTGTTTATCGACACTTAAAGATATTTGAACAAGAACATAACGTATATGGCAAATTTCATTGAATGTTAACCAAAGAATATTGTGTGGTTTTTTAATATTTATATCATCATTATCAGTTTCATCGGATGATGAATCTAATAAACATTCTATCACGTCTACACGTTTTCGACCAAATGAATCTCGTCGTTGATCATCATCTAGTTCATCAATATCAATTATTGGTTGAATATGTTTTCGAAGAGAATATGTTCGAGTTAAAACTGCTGACATACTTTCTTGTTTCTTTTCTACTCGCTAGATTTGGCGGTAACGAATCACTGTTTGACGACGTTTTTTTTCTCATATATATATATTCATATATTTATAAAATATGTTATGCACCTTTACTGCTCTCCCTTTCGTTCTGTCACTTTCATCAATACAAGAAAAAAAAATACAGTCAATATAAAAAATAAATATAGGTCTACATGACTTAACCTTTTCATATTATATATGTGAATATAGGGCTTAGCAGCACAAAAATTGATTCAGCTTGATAAAAGTAGGGTCTATAGAAGACCGATCATTTATTCATAGGCTAAACAAGAAAAACCTAATGTTCGAATATTTGAGTCAAAAGAAATTTATGATGAAAGACGATAAGGAATTGAAGAAACAATTTCAGTCTTATTACAAAAAGAAAGATTGTTTTTTTCTAATCTTAGATAAAATTTCTTTACTAATAAGATCACTTCTCAATGATTGTCGAATAGAAATTTCTATTGAATCAAATATCAGTGAAAAATTGTTTGAAAGTTAAAGACTTTATTCTAAATAGTTTATTCATTTTGTTATTTGCTTGAAAATATTGCGACAGAATTAAAAAAAGAAACCTACGTGCTGCAATGAATAAGTGCTTATTTTATGAGTGATTAATACTTGAAATAGAAATGTTTTCATTTATATGGATTAATGAAATTGCTCTAATTGTATTAACTATAAATTATTCTTACAAGATCTTTATTGTCGTTTTTCAATCGACACAAAGAAAAACTTTTTTTCCTTTTTTATCTATGAAGTTGTAGAAGTACATTACAAAAGTGAGATTAATTGATATATAAATCAGTTTTATTGATTATTAATCCTGAAATTGATGTTTTGTTTTTTTTTGTTTTGATTTAATGCAAAGCATTTACTATCAAACTTTATTGTTCGTATAGAAATACATAATCAAATAACTTCGATTGCATTAGTATTAGCTTTGAAAGAAGCACAATAAAATTTCAATCCTTTGTCCTTCTCAACTATGAAAAATAGATACAAATTATATTTTCAATATTGAATAATAAACAAAAATTTATTAGAAGTCTATTTAAACTAACTCGTGATCTGTCCTCAAACAGTGGCTGGCATGTCAAAAATATACCTTTTTTGCTGCTTTAGATTTTCAATCAAGTAAACTCGAACAAGTATGTTGTGAAGTTAAAGCCGGCCCCACCTCATTTGATAATCAGTTTTTGATAAAATGCGCGAAATTTCCATGAAATTTTCTGAAGACGTTCGACCAATGAAAGTACACAAATAAAAACAATTTCATGCTTTCAAACTTTACCGTGGAGAAAATTTCAAGGGATCATAGTGCAATATAGAACTTCCAAGAACTCTTTAGTGTTTCAGATGAGGGAACATGCTTTTTTTAATCACTGTTCACTAGAATGAGCTATGTCAAAAAAAAAAAGCATTGTTCGAAATTTGACAATTTATACAAAAATCATTTTCAAGATAAACGTGAGAATTATTTGTTTGGTCTATTTACTTGAAGAACTTTCTGTCATCGTTAGGATCCAATATGATTATACTATATACGAATTAAAAATTTAATCTTGCACATTATCAAGTAGCCTTCTAGCCACAAGTTGAACCATGATTGTAGGCAATAACTACAATTTGTGTTCATAATCTTTTAAAATTAGAATTCCCTTTTATGATTCTTTGGACGAAGAAGGTGGAGCTACCTTTCCAGATTATATAAAATTGCAATATTATCATTAGATAGAACAATTGCAAAAGAAATTTCATCAAGCCATCTTTGTTATCATTATTACTTAAAAACAATATCTCATTCTCATAAATTCTAATATGAAATCTTTTCTATTTACCGTAAAACATTAATTTGTCATATTATCAACATCGATTAAGAGTTTTGTAGATCAAATAAATTCTATTTATTTCACCGAAAGTATTTTTTTTTCCTGCTTAGTACTTTCAATTCATCTACTTTCTCGTGTAAACAAGTTGAATTCAATTGCTAACTACATTTGTTTGCTGTTTATCGTAACTGTCTTCAAAATCCATTTGTTCTTATCTAACCAATCTCAATCTTTAAAGCGATTCTATATCCATCTATCAAATATGAATAATTTTATGGCCTTGTTTTGATAAGAACTTTATATGTTTATTTAAAACTTTACTAAATTTATTTGTTATTATTCTAAAATATACAGATTTAAAAATGATTCATAATTATTATTTATCAGTATAATGATTCATAATGTAAACTGACGCATATAAGTGTGTATCACTCATTTCTTTCTTTTTTTTTTCCATTTAGATTTGTTTATAAGTCATATTCATGTCATATTTTGATGAACATGATGAAGGTCGTATACAGGCTGAAACAATGGAAATTGCTGTTGCACTTATTTGTCAAATTTCATCACAAAATAAAAATTATAAACGAATGAAAGAACAAGTGGATCGTTTAATACATCGTCATGAAATTTTATTTACCGGGATGCTTCGTAAACTTGATTCATTATCAATAAAAATTAATAACAATGAAAAAAATCGTCAAGATAGAATTGATGATTTACTTTGTCATGATTTAACAACAATATTTAATCATTTAATACAAAATGATGATATTAGTTGGGGAAAAATTATTACTATTTTAGCATTTAGTACATTTATTGCTAGAAAACACAGTGAAATAGCAGATCGAATTGCACATGTTACTGGACAGTATATTGTTAAACGATTAACAACCTGGATTAGAGATCATGGAGGATGGGTAAATTTAATATATTAATTAATAATAGAAATTTTTATAGATATTTTGAAAGAATTTAGACAAAAACTCAAATTGTTTTGAGTTTAAGTGATTGTTAAGTAAAAGTTTTAAATTAACAAAAAGTTACTAGATGAAATGTTATCTAACTTTCTACTAATCAACATGACTTTTATACAAAACCTTGATGTAAAGAATATTGACAAAGAATCGATGAGGAAACCTTGTCAAATGATAAATCGCTGTTGAAATGAGTCTTTCATTGGTTTCTTTGTGAAATACAATCTAAAGCAAGTGTAGAAGTATATAGGATTGAAATTTGTACTCATCTCTTCATAGACCACTAGAGACATAACTATAGAAATGTGAGAGATGATGTTGATATACAATCAAACACAATCTAATAGCGGACGAAAGTTTAGAGCAGTTCGATCTTCTGAATTTTCTTCTTGATCGGGCTATCTAGGTGATTTTTTGGGAAATGATTTTTATTTAATACAGCAAATAGTTCTAAGAAAAATAAGATGTCTTGACTTTCTTCATGACCTTCCTACATCGAGCTGCAATCAATTAACAGAAGATCTAAATTTTTTTTAATGAGAAATTTCAATGATTTCACTTTGTTTAAAACTTTAAAGTCGTCTATAAATTAAATGTAACCAGATGAGGCAAGGTCATGAAGAGAACTGAGACATCTCATTTTGCTCTAACAAATAAAACCATTTCAAACAGATGCCAGAAAACTGGTTTTTGTTGGAAGTTCACAAATCTTAATAGAAAATCCTTTCAGCTACTGAAATAATCTTCTCTGACTCTTGCTAGCTATTACCATCGAGAATAAAACTCGAAAATACAACTGCTCTAAACTTATGTCCTTCAAGATATATCAATAACGTCTCGTTATATGAGCTACGTCTTCATTAAAATTCTGAAAGATTAAGTAGAAGGACGGTGAAAAAATGTGTCCTAAAATATATAGAATGATATAATACTCGTGTGATTAGCAAGAGTAGTTACATTGTGTTTCAAATTTTAATGAGTTTTTCAAGAAAATATCGCATCTACACTCTCTTCAACTTTAGAATTCAAAATTCACATGAAGAAAGTTCCGAACGAGACTAGTTCATTGCGAGAATGTCAGCCTTTGTTGTATCTTATGCCACATATTCTAGCCGATACCAGTAAAAGATGTAGCATATCTTCAGTCTTTGAATGCAGTAATTTGTTCAAATAAATCTGACTGCATGTCTGTAACTGTAAGGTAAATTTGATATTTTCTAAGTTCGATTGCTTTGTCTACTTATTTCAATCTGTGAAATAAATCGTATTTAATTAATATTGACCTCTTTTAGACTAAATCAGTACAAAATCTAATTAAATGAGATTCTTTTCACAGATCGATATAAGCAGACAAAACTATGGAACTTGAAAAACATCGAATTTCTTTTACAATTACAGTCAAGTAGTACGATTTATCTGTATACTTTTGGACAAATAACTGCACCCAAAAAACTAATCATATGCTACATCTTTTACTCGCAACGCCTAGCATATGTAGTCTAAAGTCTTGTCTTTTTTTTCTAGTCCTCATAAGATCTGTCGAATGAGGTAAGACACATCTCAAAGCGATTTATCACCTGACGAGATTCTCCTGTGAGAAAAATTTTATTTTATGAACAAATGTTTCCTGAATTCTTTGTATTAGTTGTTATTAATAATACTAGAAAAATACTATGGCTTGAAATATGAAAAATCCTTTTTCGAACGTATAACTATTTTAACAAAGACGAATAAAAACAGAAAAAGAATATTTCTTATCTGATTTGAATTTGAAAATTTTATTGACTATTTATTTTAGGACAGTATGGCTTTTATGGACTCAACTTATGATATCGATTATTTAAACAAAATGTTCTTTTTTTCTTTTACTTGCATCGCTGTTAGTTTGATTGGCTTATTTCTTTTCTTACGCTAAGCATCTTTGATTCCGATATATATACAGGGGTGACTCCTTCCATTCTCAATCTTAAAAAATTTTCATTTTTCTTCAGTACAGTTCCAGCATATTTTTTACTTTTTGCTCACTAATTCCCACAAAACAGGCTCAACTCCCACTCTCCGTATCCTTGGCATCCTCAAGACACTCCTGTATATATGTATTCGTTTTTTTTTTGCTTTTTTTGTTTATGTTGGTGTCGTCAGATGATAATAATCTCTAGCCTAGAATAAAGAATATTTATTTTTTGTGTCAAATTTTAGATTTTTATATTAATCATCAATAGATTAAGTTTATCAATATGTCGGGTATGTTTTCCATATGATTCTAATTTTTATATGAATTTCATTTTTTTAATAGATAAGCTAGCATTTCAATTCAAAATGCAAACAAAAATGCTTGAAAGACAAGCACTTTCACATGATAAACAAGAAAAAGGTGAACGTGATAAAGTTAAAAAAGCATTAATGAAAGGAAATATTGAAGCAGCAAAAATTCATGCTGAAAATGCTATTCGACATCATAGTGAATCACTAAATTGTAAACGAATGGCAGCTCGGGTTGATGGTGTACAAGCACGTGTAGCTAATTCAGCTGCACAACGACAAGTAAATATCAAAAACAAAATTTCAAAATTTTTGTGAAACACGATCTAAAAGAACTCTTGAAGTATAGAAGTAAAAATTTGGATCCCTCCACAGACTGTGCCAGACGATATATCAAGAAAGTCTGGTCATAATATACGAACTAAAGTGGATTGCAGAATTTTAAGACGCATTTTTACTTCCATTTTCTCTATGCAAAGAAAAGGAGATAAAAGACATATTTTACGTGCCATATAAAAGTAGAGTTAAGGTCTACACCAACCACCTATTCTTGATCTAATTGATTGTAGCGTGAAGAAGACTAGACAACACTGGTTTTCTGTTTTTTAATAACTTTTTATAACAAAGTTTTTTTAAACACTAATTAAAAATTAATTAATAATTAAGAAAAGTGAGCTCTGACCATAGACTTCAAAACTTTAAAAAATAATGTATTTTGTAGAGCAGACTTTATTTTCTATCAAATAACATTTTTCACTCTTCTGTGCAATATGTCCATTATCTGATAAAACCCTTTTATCTTTGATGACTAATTTCAATGATGATTTTTAGCTTGCTCTATACTGTGACAAACTGAAAGAGTGTGCTCCTATGCCCATCAGCATGATGGCGTATTGTGTCATATGCATATCTCTAGTCGTGCTCTTTCTTCGTTTAAATCACCTTATATAGCAGAAAGAACGAGAGATAGTCAAAAGAACAACAAGTAAACACATAAATATGAAAAAAAGGATACAGTTATACGAAGTGAAGCGTGACGGTCATAAAACCGTTACACATACCTTAATATTTTCGGAGTGCTACATCTGATGAAGAACACATTGTACAGAAGAGTGCAAAATGTCATTTGATAAAACAAATTCTTCTCTACTAAATGTACTAATTTTTTTAAAAAGCCTTGAAGTCTATGCTTAGAGCTCATGCTCTTTTCAATAGTATACTTGAAGATCAAAATTTTAAATTAATAATTGTTCAAAAATGTTTATACTAAAATATAGACCGTTCAATTTTGCATTTTGAATATTGTCTTGATTTTTCGATAATAATATAATCGCCAAAGCACTAAAAGTGTCTTAAACTTTTTCAGTTCACTTAACCTCCTTATTGCATTTTTGAAGGATTAAGTAAAACGATGGTGAAGATATGTGTTCTAAAATAAATAGAATAAAGCAATCTCCTTGTAATTATCAACAGCAGCTACATCGTGTTTCGCATTTTAATCTGAACAGAATTGCTCTAAATTTCTTTTTTGATGTCTATAGATGGCAGCAAGTCTTAAACAAACAGTTACATTAATGTCGAAAGTCACCGCAAATATGCCATTAACTGAAACTTCAAAATTAATGGATAGTTTAGAAAAAAATTTTGAAGATCTTGAAGTTAAAACAAAAGTCATGGATGATGCTATGCAAAATGCAACATCCGTTCAACAACCAGTCGATCAAGTTGCTAACCTTATGCAAGAAATGGCTGATGAAGCAGGAATTGAACTTAATCTTAATATTCCAAGTGCACCTTCAACAGTTGCAGTCGGTGTTAAGACTGAACAAGTAAGATTTCAATATGATGAAATTTTTTACTTTTTCTATTTCTTTTATTTTTTTTAATTTCTTTTAGGACGAACTTACTCAACGATTAGCAAAATTGCGTGAATCATAAACGATAATGATATTAAAAAAAAACACAAGAATAGTTCTCGGTGATCAAATAAGACTCTTTTCTTTTCTTTTTAAATTTAACCTCTATATATGTATATAGAAATATATGTGTGTATGCTTATTTCATATTTTTTCTGTCATTGAGATCAAATTTTACGATAAAAAAAACAATGATTCATTATTCAGTATTAAAAATATCAATATATGTTATTTTATTTATACAGTAGGAACTAAAGTTATTGATTATGGAGGAAATGACGGAGGCTTTTCATTGCCGAGAAAATTTCGAAATATTTGAGAAAACTTTGTACAATCTTCTAAGAAATTGTGAGAGAAAGGGAATTTTTGACAGTTTTAGCTCTGCTTCTGGTAGAGATTCATATTAAGATGTTTTTTCTCAGAGAAAATATTAGAGAATGTCGATGATTTAGCATTGTCTCTTCGACTTCTGCTGAATTTTCAATTTCTCCTACTCTAAAAAACGATCGGAAACCCTGGTAGAAACAATCGAATATCTTCATTAAGCATAGCGAAAAAGAAAGCCAGCTGTGACACATGATATGCATTCTGCAATTGGTGATTCGATTTATCCTCAAAATAAAAAAATAAAAGTAACAATATGATTGCTGCAATGAAAAAAGCAGAAGAAAAAGCTTATTTTTTCTGTTTTTGATCAAAAATACTGTTTTGCATTTCATGCAGCTGTTTCATTTTCACTTGTATAAGTAAGTAGTAAGAGAAAAATATTTCAGTGCAAGAATTGATTATACAAAGTATGTGAAAAAGTTTCATACGATGAATGATATAAGTATGATTAACGATACACAAGAGGAAGACTATATTGATCGATTAAGTTATATTCTTCCATGGCAACGATCATTATCACCACTTGAACGATTTTTAATTATATTTATTGTTTCGACATTTGTTTCAATTGTTGGTTGTATTTTACTTTGTCTTGTTTGTTTTCGATCTTCTCTAAGAAGAAGACGTTATTCAAAAAATAAATTAAGTAAGTATTAATAAATAAATACAACTGAAAATAAAGCTTGAAAATTTTCTTTTTTTTATTTCTATCAAGATACAGATCAACATAGTTTGATAAATACAATATCAAGAAAAAGTTTAGCTATAGTTCCACCATCACCACCAAGCTATGAATCAATTGTCAAAACTGATGATGTTCTAGATTTTAATAAATTATCTAAGAGTTCATATTTATATTTAGCAAGAAAATCTTCCAATGGAACAGTATCAGATACTGATGGTATTCGATCACACGGTGTATGTATTTTCTTCGTTAGTCATTTCTCTAAACTATTTATTTTTTATTAGAATAATGATTATCTTACATCATTAGATGGAAAAACTCGTCGTACTCGATCGGCTCGTTCATCCTTATCAAATGGTGGTATAATTTCAACTATAAGTAGCACATATCCATTAAGTCCATATGCTCAAATAAATGTGGAACTTGAAATTGATATAATTGAAAATTTACTTAAAATTCATTTAACTAATGGTGAACATTTCTTACCTCATCCTATATTTGATGAACAAACCGAATATTTTATTCGTATACAATTATTAAATAATACTACATTAAAAAAATTTTGTGATGAACGAAAAAAACGTCGATCAAGTTTACCATTAAATATATGGAAAAAACAACAAGAAAAAATAACGAAGTTTGTTATTTTTTTAAAATTTTTATACGATTGATGTGATTTTTTTTTTTAAGAAATCTATCACGTACATCAAGTGATACATTATTATGTGATGAACATTTACAATTTCAATTCAATAGAAATGAAATAACATTAACATCAATTCGATTTTTATTATTTTGTACGGATAGATCTGGTTTTCAAGATTTAATGTTTGAAGCATTGATTCGTTTAAATCCATCAATGATACCTAAACATCAAGAAATGATTGAATTTAAAAATCCACCACAAGTTCGATAGAATATTTCTTATTTTGTTTGATCTAAAACAAAAATGAAATTGCTTCTTTATTACAGGTCAATTTTGGAGAAATATTTATTGGTATAAGTTATCTTCCAACTTCAGAACGATTTACAATTAATATTAATAAATTACGTTATTTTTGTAAAATTGAAAAAGAAAAGAAAATTGGTATGTAAAAAGTATTTTCAAATATCTCAATACTAATCCCTGTAATTTGTTTTACAAATTATTAACAGATGTATACATTCGATTAGAAAAAGAGAACAAAAAATTCAGTCAATATTAGCTTTGATTTTCTTTGAAATTCAGAAGAAAATACTTTTCATATGAAATCTGATTCATTACTAAGAAACTTTATTAATTATTGTCAAGATATTGATAGTGATGATGATAAATCAAAATGACTAACATGATTAATTTATACATATTCGGATTGTTTCTTTTGTTCTAAAAATGAAATTAAAAGAAAAACAGTTCTATATATTATTTGCAATAGTATTTTCAATTTACATGTAAACAATTATATTCTTTTTCAATAGATACTCGCCTAACAATAACATTATTTCATAATGGTCGTCGTTTCTTGCAAAAGAAAATTCCATTGACTCTCAATGGTTCAACATCGATTGATTATGAAATAAAAGATACTATTACAGAAAATATTCCACAAAATGATATATATTCTGTATATGTACATGTTGAATTTAATTCAAAAGATAATTCATTTATTTCTTCAAGTTCAATTCTTCTTGGTGAAAATACACGGTATGAATCTGATTGGCATAAAATGCTTGAATATCCTCGACAAACTCATCATAGATGGTATCCATTTCTTGGATAATAGTTTATCTGATTTTTTTATTTCTATGTGCTTGTATTTAAGTAATAAAATATGCTTGTCTTTTTTCCTCACTTTCATATTACAATGTTTCAAGAATATATATTATATTATGCTAACTTATGAACGAAGAGAAAGTAACGGAAACTTTAGACTGAAAGTCTTTATTAATGAACTATGAAACTGGTTCATTAAAATTTATTTTCTGACATATTAATTAAATAAAAATAGTCACGATGATAATTGAGCTATCTGAAATAAATCAATAAGAGAATTTGTTGAAGAACTTTGTCGATGTCGTTTTAAAGTTCCTATAGGTGGAAGAGATCTTGGTAGAATTTGTTCGAAATGAAAAGCTTTTTCATCTTTTCTACTATCAATATATGTTTCAGGTCTGACACCTTGATGTAAACGATCAATCATTTCATTAATTGATAATGATGATTTTCTATTTAAACCTGATTGAGTTGTCATTGTTAAATTTGAATCACGACGCATATTATCATTTACGAATAATGAATATGTTGAACAATACATTTTTTTTAATTTATTAACTTTATTTATTTTGCCTTTTTTCATAGCATCATTCATTTCTTTTCGAAGTTTTTGACGTAAAATTAAACAATTTTCTTTCATACCAATATTTTCCCATTCACGAGCACTATGATGTGTTTGTAAATCACATTTCTGTTGACTTGCATGTCCTTTTTTTAAAAGTATTTGTGCCATATCATGTAGATGAAGTTTTATAGCAAGTAAATATGGTGTTAAACCATTTTTATCTAATAAATCAACAGATATACTATAACGATTCATTGTTGTTATAAGTGTTTCAAGTATTACAACATTATTTAATTCAACTGCTTGATGTAAAATTGTACGTCCATGTGCATCTAATGAACGCCAATCTATTTCACCACTTATCTCATCAAAGAGAAGTTCAAATGAATCAAGTTGTTGTCGAGCCATAGCTTCATGTAATACAGTATAACCATTAATATTATCTCTATGTAATGGATTAATTCCATGATCTAAACAAAATCTAAGCATACGACAACGTTTATATGAATCATTTATATCTAATGCATAGAATAAACCATTGCGACCATCTTTTGATGTAACATTTAAATTATAATCATGACGAATATATAATGCAAGCCGTTTATATTGAGAATTTTGAATAGCATGAAATATTTCAGATTCTAATACCGATGTTTTATGTTCGTTTTCAGACATCATTTTTTTTTCTTTATTGTTAAATTGTACAAACAGAAAATTTGTGAAACGTTATTGTTGTTGTTATTGCTTAAACAATCAATTGAAGTCCCTAATTACATTAAAAAAAATGGTTAGAAACAAAGAAAGAGAAGAAAATGTTTGGATGGTTGTGCTTTTTTTTCTTGAAAAACAAGTAATGGTAGATTGACATTAAAAATTAAAGGTACGTATTATTCGTTACAAATGTACTAGTCATTATCGTCTATTAAGTTTGTACTTGGCTAATCAAGACGGCTGAAAAGACGTATGTCTCCTTTGAAAGGATACTTTTGAATTCGTTTGGATTTTATATATGGATATACTATTTAAAATATTTTTAATTATTACCGAAACATGCAAAACAATAGTATATGTATATGAACAAGAAATTGTTGAATGACGTCATACAAGATTCATCGTGTCGTAAATACTTTCATTGAATAATTTTGTATGACGAAAAAGCACTTTTTGCGAGATATAGAACTAAAATAACATACATTAACATGTGATTTTTTTAAAATATTTATTCTAACTATTAACTTCTGAAGTCAAATTTTTCTTCGACAAATTATTGTATATTCTTTATTAAAAATAAATTTGCTCTTTTACAATAATCAAATATAAACTTTTTTGTTTTTTGTTTTCGTGTTGTCAAAAAAGTTGTTCGTTATCATATATGTTAACAAACTAATTCACATGTCAATAGACGCATTTCAAAACCGTTCAAGCATGTTTGGCCAAAAGTCACTTTACCGTATAGAAACAATTGAATATCTCCACCATAGCTTGATTAAATAGACAGATTTCTTTTTACTGATGATGAAGGTATGTTCATAGTTCGAATCGATGTGGAAAAGATTGGAAAGAACCTTTGGAGGTATTACTGTTCAGTGGGTGTAGATAAACATAAGGCACCCATTAGCACCGATACCCATCTAAAAGAGTGTCGTGAATTGACGACATTACTTAATCATTTAAGTTTGAATGATTTTCTAAAGAAAATAGGAAAAGAATGTTCAGAATCTCGATTTACATGAAATGAAGAAGTTGTAGATCGACAACGAAGTGATCAACTCACTGGACTAAATAGACCTTCCTGTCGGCAATCAACTGCTTGTTTATAGTATGAAGGGGTTTGTTTGAGTGTAGAATGCAACGATTGTGAACATAAAGTTATTACGAATGAAGGTTTTGGAGAAGCTATTTTTCAGTCAACAGTCATGCATAATGTTCAGATTCATCGTATAATATATTGAATATGTGAAACAAGTTTTCAATTTTTGTATTCAAAAGATATAAGAACAGATAAGAATTTATTTTCTTCAAATTCATTTTTCAAAACTTTTCCTGAATACAACAGTCTAGAAATTTTTTTTTTGATATATTTCATTGAGAAGAACGATCTACGGATTAAATGCTTAAATCGATATGCATAAAGAAAAATTATGTTTCCATTTCTTCGTCTAATTAATTATGAAATAAACTAATCTCTTGATAATAAATTAAATAAATAATATTCAATTTCTACATTTCGAATTTTATTTTATTTGTTTTTATTCTCAAACAATCGTGTGAATATTCTTTATTCGACTTGAAGCAACCGATCGAACTTTCAATAAAGCTTTTTTCAATTACCATTTGCTTCTCTATTTAAAATGATAAGTACATACATTTAAGAAAAACAAATATAATTCAAAGTGTTTTTGGTATTGAAGACTTGCCCACCCGTCTGAATAGATGTAAACCTGCTACTCCATTGGAACAACGATGATTATTATTTTACGCGTTGTTTGTAGCTTCAGAACAAGCTTAAACAATATTTTAAGAGCATGACTTGAGAAGTTATCGGGAGGACGCAGAGATTCAATTAGGCAGACGTTTTGCAGGCCTGACCTGTCATTTTATTTTTCTCGACCTGACATGCCTGTCTGTCATTTTCTTCGACCTACCTGACCTGCTTGACAAGGCCTGTCTACTTTTTTAGCCAATATAATTCTATTAATATCATATCACTAAGTTTCAATCCCAAGGGGAAAAAAGCGTATTTCTAAGTATTTCTCTATTTCAGAAATACCTGAAAATACTTAAAAATACAGAAATACGCTTTTCTCCTTGGAGTATTAATATCGAGGAAAATGAAGAAATACACGCACATTAATAATAAGAAAAATAATATTTTTTCTTCAAGAAAAGTTTCAAAAAATCTGACAGACAAAAATGTCATTCATATTGTAAAAAGCAGCAAAAGAGCCATGTACAGGTACTACCCAATCTAAAACAGATATAGACCGTTCAGCTATCGCTGAATCAACTGGACTTTGAACAGTGACTCAAAGCAAGTAATGATAAATGTGGAAAAGACGGTTCGACATATGAGAAAATTGATCCCTTAGAAAATTTTAATTTTTTTCTGTGCTGAACTATCGCCCGAAGATTTCGAATGTAATCACTAGCAGAATCGTCCCTGTGGCATGTATGAACGCTGTACTTAAGTGATTTGAAGAAATAGTTAATAAACATACTATATCCGGTAAAGTGTCAAAATGTCGAAAGGAAAATGTCGAAAGTGAAAATGTAGAAAAAAAAATGTAGAAAAGCAAAATGTCGAAAATTATGAACCCCTGTAAATCCTTGTAAATCCTTGATGAAAAACTTTTTCTAAGATTTGATCAATAGAATGTAATACGGTACACATTCACAGAGCACAACAGTGAGGGTGAGGGCGAAATCTGTGACCAAAAAGGATTTAGATTTTCGACAATCTGCTTTCGACATTTTTCCTTTCGACCTTTAACCACCTATTCCTATATCCTACCCGTCAATGATAATTAGCCTATTTAACTATCGTTATAGTAGTCTATTAAGCCAGTTTTCAAACAATTTGACTGAGATTTTTCAGCACCGCGCAATGATAAAAAAACACCAAAAAAAAACATTCAACACTGACAAAAGAGTTGGACAGATATTTCTACAGATATCATTTTCTTTGGTCTTGACTCATATTTGATAGATTTCAGTTAGAAGTACAGCCTAGATAAAAACTAAAATTGTCTTATAAATCAGTATGCAATACCGAGTAAACTTATATCACTTTAAAATCTTTTTATCAACCTTTTATAGTTGAAAAATTACCCAGTCTTTCTCGAATTAGGTCAAAACAATGAATCTCGCTCAACCAGTCTTTCGAAGGCTCACACAAACGCAAATTTTTGTTCTAATGTCACTGTATAGTCTTAGAATTTTTTTCCATTGGTGAAATTACTTTTCGATGCGATTCATATGTCGAATTAATCTTGAGAGAGACTGGACTGTTTTTTTCGGCGATACAAGGTCGATAAAAAGATATTAACTTTTCATTAACCTGCTTAATGTTAAATGCTGTTTTCCAAGATGATTTTAATTTTCTATTCAAACTGTACTTCTGATTGAAATCAGTCGAAGTCACTCAAATCATGTTTGGAGAAATATTTCCGTGAAAAGTTATTGATTGATCATTTATTTTTTCTCCGATGTTTACTTAGCATTTTCGAGGCGCTTAAATATCCTTATCTAACTACATGAAACTTAGCTTCATCTGCTACCATATTGATAGTTAAATAAACCTGATTATCATGACCAGTCAGACATAATACACTTCTTTATTATTTCAAACGATTTGAGTACAGTGTAAACAGTTGCAAAACAGCGAATTCTACCAGTGATCACTTTCGAGACCCTTGTTTAATAGTTTTGCTTAAAAAATATTTCCATGGAAAGATTTCATCGACTATTGAGCTCCTCTTTTGTACTGAAAACCTCTTCATATTGATGATAGATTTCATTATTTATGTCTATCTTCAATATTTATTCTCAATAATTTAGCTTGAAACATGATATCCAAATATCATGTTTCAAAACTACGCAACTAAATTTATTTTCTTGAATTAAATTAAATTCAAGCGAAAAATTTTTGATATGGAAGAAAAAAAAATAGACAGGTCAGGCAGGCCTAGTGGCCTGATTGGGGCTCTACTACGAATCATCAAGTGTTACGTTGGCATAAAGGAGTGAAACAGATCACTGTGGTTGCAGGTGAAAACAGTCAAGGAGAAAAAACAAATCAGTTGAAGAGTCCTTCGCATTTGTCCTTCGATCAGCATGGCAATCTCTATGTTGTTGATGAATATAACTATCGCGTTCAACGTTTTTTTATCGAATAGATCCAAAACAATGATTCATTTTTTCCGTTCCTTTTCTCTCTGAAATAAATCGTGATTGAATGAAAAATAACTAATAGTTATTCTATTGGTAGGCGTACAGCTAGAAACCACTCTGTTGAAGCCAAGACAGGCGTAAAGCTCATACATACACGGTATAGACTCACATCATTCACAGCAGATATATCAAAGAGTTCAGTGAAGGCTCCATGACGTGCCACGGACGTCACGATAGTTGCTAACCAAGCTTTTAGGGCTACAAGAAGGATGAGTGTGGGTTTTGGTCTGGATAGTGTAGGTGCTGTTGTCGGACTGTCTGGATAGTCTTTGGGTATAGGCACGTGTATGAAGTGGATGCTGATGTGGGTGTGAACAAAACATACAAAAACAGCATCGATATATATACTTACAGCCCCTTTGTTTGTACCTGTCTATATAAATATGGGTGTTGTGGTTTTTACCCACAATACCTTTCGTTCACTTTATCTATGTAGTCAATGGTATATACCCTTTGATTTATGGTTCTTTGTTAGTCAACAAAGAGAAGAAAAAAGAAAAGCGTAGCCTTTTGCTGTCTAAGTGAAACTATCGGACGAGTTGAAATGACATTACGATTATCTTTGCTCTTTCATTCTCATTTTGGACATGTTCGACAAACTTTAAGTCATATATTATTTGAAAGATACTGAATTTCAATTTTTGTTCCAATCTAATAACAGTATTTGTAGACAGTGAAAGTGACGTAATGAGTTAAACGCGTTATTGTGATGAAATTTTTTTCTCTTACATATGACAATGATTCTGCGATGAAACTTTACTCTCTGATAGAAAAAGAGATAATGCGCCCAATAAAATCACTGCGATACTGAACAGAAATCTCCCAATTCTTGTCACTCGGATTGACAGCGAATATATTTAGTTGAGAACTCTTCTAGAAATCTTGAGTAGTTTCAAGAGGTTTTCGATGGCATGTTTTCGTGACCATAATATATAGACGCATGGTTTCGTGCCTTCATATTTCTGTTTTTATTTGTACCTGATTACTTCTTTGCACATTCATTTCTTATCTTTTTCTCTTGTCAATCTCTTTCATCTTTTGCGTTTAGCAACTATTCGCGGGTCGATTGCATAATGAAAAGGTGAATAGAAAACAGTCTTCCTTACAATAATACCATTGGGCTTAATAAATTCTAAATTAAAATCAGTGTTGAAAGATGTTGAAAGTGCTTATAGCTGTTTATGCTAAAGTATTCATTTCGTGACTTACTTTGATTCCATGTTTTGCTCGACATGAGTCTTTTTCAATAGAACGTTACGAATAATTGAAATAAGTGGAAAAATATACTTTCATTTATACACAATGTTGCTTCTGCTTCTGACATCGAAATTTACTTCTTTGAAGTTTCTTTGCAATTAACAAAAAATCTAATGAAAGCGATCCTTGTTTATTAATGAAAAAAATAGTTTCAAAAAATCTGTTGACTACATGCTTTAACTTCAAAATCGAAAAGTATATATTGAAAAGAAGTAGCTAAATGCCTTCTTCTGTTGAGCAGTCGGTTCTTTCGGTGCTGAATATTTGGTTGCATCTTTTGGTAATAGAATGCCACATTGGTAGCAGAAGCATCTTTGATGCGGTGCATTATTAACTATGTGTCCATATTTGCCCTTGAAAACATCAATCAAAAATTTGGGGTTTATGAACCTTGAGACCAGTTGTAACAACATCCAAAAAATTGTTTTGGCGCTGGCAGTTCGGACAGCGTTCACATTTGGTTTTGATTATGTATGGCGTCGAAAAAAAGTTTTTTTTGCGTTCCGAGTAATTCTTCGATCTTTTGTATATCGTCAGCCGATGTTTCAACCATTGTGTAGTCATCATCGGTATTCATCAAAAATTCTTTCATATTTCGATGGCATTCATCTTCGGGTATTGCTTTCGGAAACATTTGCTTTTCTATCATAATAGTTGGAATCGTGTTTATATCCACAGCTTCTTTCAATACTTTGATATCAACGAGAGTAGCCATGATATGACTTGAATAATTGTACGGTCAAATGTATACTGCTACGATGTGTGAGGTTTGCCCAAGTATCTGTGGAGAATAATTGTATGAGAGTACTGAAACGTATGAAAAAGATTGTTACTTATATAGGACAACACTAGCCATCATAAATTTCACGCTTATCATTTTTGTGCGAAATTTGACCTAAGTAGTGAGGAAATATCATCTCATGAGTTACATGACCTTTTATGTAATCCGATTGGGAAGAGGAGAAGTGCTTTGCAATATGACTCATCAGTTAAAAGGTGCTGCATAAGTTTCGATTCCCTCTTTATTATTTTTTCTTTTTTTGCCGCATTCAATCGTTAAGAGATAGTCAATATGTATTTTTGAAGAGCAACATCCAAGCTGTGAATCAAAAAAATATGTTCAAGTTGCATGAACCCTAAGAGAGAACTAAATCGATAAAATTTGTTTTTTAAATTGTGAAAGACATTTTTTATTCATTGTCTACCAGGATTAAAGAAAATTGCAGCCACTTACTCGTTCACTCACTGCGAGTCATTTCTATCGTCCCTTTTCTAAGATACAATATTCAAGTAAGAGAAAGTTCGTATTTAGGTGTATATTTTAGACAGCAGCACCATAATGTCATGTCTGAACTAAAAAGACAGAAGAAAGGTGACCATATGTGTAATCGATTAGTGTTACAAGAAGGTACATGCTTGGAGCAATGGCACGAATGAAGTAATATTAGCTTTTAATTAGCTGACTGGGCATCGCTGCCGTCTGAAAAGTATTAGCTGCGCTTTTTTGACGCAGAAAAATGGATGTTGAATTTTCTCCGACATGAATATAGTGATAAAACAGCAGAACAATAAAGTAGTCTGTCGTGAATAATTGATTGGCTATTCTTTTTTTCGAATCCTGATTATAATTTTATCTTAATATATAATCAATAACGATCAGATTATTTTTTGTCGGATACTTTGATTTTTTCACATTCAAATTTTAAGTTAGATGTCTTTTGTATTTGAGAATGTTGCAATTAAAGTTCATAAAACGATTTGGTGTTACGATCATCGATCTTAGATTTACGAAAAAAAAATCATTGAGATATAAAAGAATTACTAGAAGACTTTGGGAAATTCATCAGCCTAATGAAATATCATATAATGGTTTATTATCGCTATCAAAGTGAACTATATCACCACAAACTGTAGAAGATAAACAAAGAAAAGGAAGAAAAAAACGACAAGATCAGTTGCAAATGTAGAACAAATCAAATAAAGACATTTCCGTCAACAATGCAATCCTGGCCAACAAGCAACAGCAATACGATCGGGAATATCTTTATCAAGTGTCAATCGTGCAATCCAAAATGATCTTGAATTAAAACCTTTTGATAAATTTAAATCATTCAAGTTGACTAATGATCATATTAAAAATCAAATTGAAAGTACAAAAAATTTATTACCCACATGTGAGGGCAGAAAAAGATCCCAAAAATGTTTGTGGCATTTAGTTGTTAATTCTGATTATTCCACGAAGATTGGATTAAATACAGCAAATAATATGAAAATTTATACAATCTGTGGTGTTAATCGTAAATCAATACCACGTGAACTATTAGAATCACCCAAAGAAAAATTTACAAAGGATTTTATGATGTGGGATGCAATCTGCAGCCTGAATTAATGCCTGAAGACAGTCCAATCTTTATTGATGAATTTCTTGAGGAATATGAATAGCAGCATGGCAGTAAGAAAAGAACAACGAATTCTGAAAAATATATTGATTTATCACGCGAAAAAATAATATCATCAATTGAACAAAGATATACTAATTATGATTATATTTATCAAGATGATTGTGATTGAATTCATCGAAGAAAATATGCCGAAGCGCATTATGCCTGAATATCAAGCTTCGAAATTAGATGATATTTGGCACATAGGAAACGTTTGGGCTATAATTCGTATGAAGTTAATGAAAAAAGGTTATCAAGATTTAAATCAAGTCAAAAAAGAAATCGTGAAAATTTGGAAAAATTTAGACATAAACTTATGTGCCAAAATGATGTTAGGTGTACTGAAAATATTACAAGCACTGATCGAAAACCAAGGCAGAAGAGTTCTTACAGACTGATTATTGATTATTTTCATTGATTAGTGATTGCGCTTGTTTTTATTATTAATATTGATACTAAACCAGATGTAATCCTCGTTTTAATATTCTCAAAATAAACAAATGATAGACAAGGAGCAAAAAATGCTTTCGACAAAATTTTTTCATTAATAGCTTAGATGTTATGCTTCAACAAGATTAGGTCCCGTTTCGTCGAAAGCTTAATTGATTTTCCCGTTTCGTCGAAAAGTTATTTTTCTTCCATTCCCGTTTCGTCGAAAATGAAAAAACGACTNTCTGTTCGAAAAAATTTGATTTCGATTTCGAGGTTTCCATTTCTAAAGCCGTATTGAAGCGTCGTCAAAGTCGGAGCAAGGCCAAGTTGTAGAAGCTTAGTTTTGAGAACCTCTATCTTGATAAACGACAAGTTAGAGGCTTTTTGTTATAGGTGGCAATGTTTTGAGTTTATCTTGATTGCAAATTCTATGACTATTTTTTCGAGAAACAGCTTTCTATGTAATAATTCAAAAATGAGAAGAGGAGATAAGAAACAAAATTTTACTTCATTTTGCATTTTTTTTTAAATTGAGTAATTTTACTAAATTAGGATATACATTACTGTTTATTCTTTAAAATGTTGTTGCATTATAAAGAAATTGCAGCTCGAAAAATGAAATTGATAGTTTTGATGAAGAGAAAACTCTTGAATCTGTTTGACTTTTGTGGACTCCATTCCTCCTGCAAGAAGCATTTGATAGTTTTGATGCTATGGCAACTTTTGCTTCACTTGTCGAGAACCGTTTTGTCTTGAAAGTTCCATAATTTTTTGTCGTATATGTTGTTGCTATTCTTCTTTTATTTTAATAAAAAAGAAATTTGAAGAAGTAAATCTAGTAGTACACATTATTTTTAGTAACCCGGTTTTTTTGTTTTTAATTAAAACATGACTTTGCTTTCAAGAGAACTAGCCCAACTGGCATTCACCGTTTGAGCTCATATTGAGCCCATAAGAATATCTTGGTAACATTTAGTAAAACTTTAGAAGAGTTCTTCTGGAAGAGCCTTTTGATTGCTTTTTTTCGCCACCTCCAGAAAACCAAATACCGATTTTTCAACCCAAAATTATGTTCATGTATACTTATGCTAACTCTAACAATATTCTGAAAGTTTCAGGCGAAAAAAAGTCTTTTCTTGAAGTTTTTAAATTTCCGAAAATGGAGTATTCTGATGAAGGAACAATATTTTCGATTGAAACTTTCAGAACATTCTAAGGATCAATGTACTATCAATGACAACAGTATTGCGAGTCGTATTTTCATTTAAAATATATAGTTTATAATTGGAACAAATTATATCCATATATATAAATAATACAAGAGTAGATGCTCATAATCTAAATAAAAGTTTATATCTTATGACGTTTTTTCATTTATTATTGAATAACATCTTTTTTGCACATCATTGCATACTTAATCGACCACATCTTCAAGTTAAGAATTCAATATGAAATTATGTCAGTTGCAAATCCATAGGCATGATTTGAAGCAGTACGGAACATAGTCAAATAGAAAAAAAATACGAAATCAACATGTGAAGTAGAGTGTGCGACTAATGAAAATTGCCATGAATTATCAACAAGTGTTTTTCAAACATGTATTTTTTAGAGATCTCGCGGTGCTGAATCAACACTATATCTTTGTTTGAAACCTTTATTTGTATTACAAGCGTTTACTCTAGTACTATTCGAATATTATTCATTGACTTTTCGACTGAGAGAGTAACGTCTCCCTTCCTTCAATCTTGAGAAATTTTCGTCGTCCTCCAACTAATTTCCAATTTTTTATTGATGTTTTTTTTGCTCATAATTTCTCGAACAAGCTGCTCGATCTCTCCCTGAATTCGATGAGTTTCAGTAAAAGTCTCCTAAGTCATCGATTCGCAAAAATGATGGATTAATAAAAGGTCTATGATGTATTTTTTCTAATTCGTCAATTTGTTTCATTTTATTATCTGATAAATCGAAATCGAATACTTGACAATTTTCATGTAAACGTTCTGATGTTACAGTTTTAGGAATAACACTAAGGCCATGTTGAAGATTTCACCGAATTATAATTTGTGCTGTTATTCGATTTTTTTGTTTAACTATTTGTTTTATAATTGTATTATATAATACTGATGTCTCTTCTTCACGTTCATTTAGTCGTTTTAAATTTGCTAATGGACAAGAATTTGTTATAATAAAGTTTTTTTTTTTTACAAAATATGATCTATTAGAAGAATTTCATTGCTTTCTGATGGTTTAAAATTCGATAGACCAATTGAATGTACCAATTTTAAATCAACTAATTTTTCCATGACTTTCCATGTATCAGCAAGTGCTATACCTTCAGCATAATAACGAACTGTTATATCTTCATTTTGTGACCATGGATTTTCATCCATTTTTTAAAAGCAACTGGCTAATGCGTTAAATAAAGATCAACATAATCTAATCGAAGTTTTGACACACTATCATGAACAGCCCATTCAACATCTTCTGGTACATGATGCTAAATATATATATATATGATTTAAAGAAAAAAATATTTTAATCTTATGTTTACTTGATTCTATAATTTACTTGTTATGAATAAATCTGCACGTTTGCTTTTTCCTTGACTTTGCTCTAATGCTTCATGAATACCATAACCAACTTCAGATTCATTTTTATATAATCATGCACTATCAATAATGACGATACTCATGGCTTAATATAGTTTCTTTGACAATATTTTGTACTCTCTCAAGACCTTAATTACGGCAAAGAAAAATTTTTAAATAAAAAAGACTTTATTTTTAATATTTACCAAGTCGGGGCATTTTTTTGTTATCTGAAAGAGTTGCGAAGGAATCCATCGTTAGGATTTCATCATTTACCTATCGACGTGTTTATAATTTACAGAAAAATTCATTCTAAAATTTAAAGAGAAATAGTTATAAACATAATCAATAGAAAACTTTATTCGTTACTCTTGTTTTCTTTATTTTTCGGCTTTATGAATTGCCTTGTGCTACATTTGTCACTCGAATGGACACCTTGGCTGTGTGGTATAAATATGCCTGGAAATGTGATCAATCCCATTCATAGAAGAAAAAAATGTCGATCAATTCATTTTCAATGAATCGACTTTTTAAAAGGTTTTACTTATCTTGAAAGAATATTTTCCCAAAAAAAGAATTCAATTTTCATATCTTTTAGTGTTTGAAAATCCATAGCAACAGCCTCTGCTATTCAAATTTAGCATAATCTGCCTGACATTCTTATAGAAAATGTCTTTTGAGTTCATCTTATACTAAATTTAAACAATCAAAATTTATCATGAATACACATTGAGAGACATACCAATTTTTTTTTATAAGATGACATTAAAATTGTTGGCATTTAATACGGTGTAAAACGAGCATATCTCTAGTCAGTTGTGTACATATTTGGCCTCCCTAGTTTGTCTATTTTTCACTGTAACAAAGTTTCTATTTCGTATTGTGATAATCTAGAGAACGGTGAGCCATTAGAGACTGGTTCAAACTTTGTGAGAGAGATCGATGTCTCGAGATGATGCAAAGGTTTTTGAATTTTCAGTATATTCTGCAAAAATTATGATATTGATGATTTGTTCCCCATCTTTTTCACCAAGATACTGAAAAGTGATAAACTAGCTTCTAGACAGCTGTTGTGAACAGAAAAGATATTGAAAACCTTCGTTAAAATAGGATCGCTTTGAAGGGGAAAAAAGCTTTCCTCACACCATGGATATGTAGGAAATCATTTTTCATAGGAAATTCCAAATAGTAGGAGTGAAAATAAGCTTATTTGAGTCGCGGAAAAAGAGTGGATATGTATCTCATCAAACAAGAATACGTATAATGAAACTTAACATAGAGTGTTGTTCTAAATTTCGTTCTCTATCTACAACGACATGATACTTAAAAAATTCCCATATATATATTTGGTGAGATCTATACTTCAGCTATTGCTAGGACAACGGTAAACTTTTCATTTCTGTTATCCATACCGTAACAAAGATATAGAACTTAAATGATAGCATTTTTTTCTTTGATTTCACATATAAAAGTTTCCTATGCAAAAAAGCTTCCACATAAATTCAAGCTATAAAAATACAGGAGAGGGCTAATATAATTTTCCAATATAAAATATCTATTTAAATAGAATATTTTTCATGTAGTTTGTAGTATCCTTGCTAATCACCGATTGAACAATAAAATTAACTATAAACATTATTGAATAAAATCGTCTTCTGTCATTTTGTTTGTCTTTTTAAAAGTTGTGGGTATGAGTAAAAAAAGAAAAGTTCTATCTTTTTAGACAAAAAGTACTCCTGACATCGAGCAAAAGTTATTCTATTGAATTATGTATCATAACAATCATTTCATGTTAGAATCGGCATGCAACAGGTTTCAAAAATAAGTGGTTGAATACTTTCCCAACAATGAAAAATGACATCCTGTGATTGTATGGCCAATAAAGAGTAAACCGATTAATAGATTGATCTGATATATTTTTTTTATTAGTATACTAATGACTATAGGATGTAGTCTAACGAAAATCAGATGATTCTAGCTTATCTAGATTTTGAAATGTACACAAAAGAATATAAAAATGTCTACTATCAATAGAAACAGTTCAAATACTACTTTATATTTCTATAATATTTGATGATTCTTCAGTTGGTGTAATAGAATAAGAATTTCGATCAAAACTATTCACATATAATTTTTATAGATGAGGAAAGCTCTTTCTTACAATAAACTTCATATTGCACCAAATATACGAGCGAGAGTCGTTCGTGATAAAAGTATACTTTATTATTCGTAGCCAAGCTGCATCTTTCAAAATAATTGAAAGATTATATGAATAATTGTGTGAATATAGGAAAGACCATATATAACTGGCCTTAATCGTTTTAGATTTAAGGTGATCGCGGATTATTTGTTGGACGGCGCCATGAATCAAATCAGTTCGTACTTGTAATTCGTCATTTGTAGTATGAAGATCATCATTAATAAGACAATCGATCAGTTTGATGATAGATACACCGAATCACACTCGATCTTCACGAAGCCATTCATGTCGTTTGTCAACTGTTCTTAGAGGCGATGTCTGACTGCCACAAATAAAATATAGTTGAGTATTGACTTAAGTACAGAAGTAAAAGCTTTTCTAACGTAAATAAGTCAGAGATGAAAAGCTATTATCGAAATTCTAATATTATCATAGGAAATGAAGAATAGTGAAATATTATGTATGGAGCATTGTTTGGACTATCCATGTATTGAGAAAGAAAACTTATTTGAGCTTTGTATAATACTGTATCATTTTACTGTCACTGCTTGCAGCATACCTTAAGTATATCATCATCTAGAAAGAAATACCAATTCTAGCTTTCGAAGAATTTCTATCATACTCACAATAATCATCAATAAACTATGGTATTTCATCGATATTAGTAAAGCTATCTAATTGAAGTTCTTATTCTCATAAAGTTACATTCATATCGAACTAATTATATATATTATTTCAATATCATCCATTTACAATGTATTAAATTAAGCCTAATTATCTGTTATATTTCAAGAAGAAAAGAAGAGTATGTTGCAAAGACCGACATTAGAGTAGAATTATCCTGTTGCCCTGGCCCTCTATCTTTCTCTGCAGAGAAAATTATTTTGTTCTGTTAAATTATGTTTTAATCCTCGTGTTTTAGGCGCTTTCTTAATCAAAATTTTCAGTTTTCGTAGAGTTACATGAGATATTGCTATGAGCTACCCACGTTTATACTTCATCCAGTATAGCCCTTCGCGACAATTTTTACGTATCGCTATTGGTTATCATCTCTGTTCTGTGAATTGAATAGAGACTAGAAACCATCATCAAGGCAGGATGCCTCGATTCTCTAACGTCCTTGCCTCAAGAAAGTGAAATTAGTTGCTCTAACTTTACTCCGTTTGTTCTGGGTACGACTAGAGTAGAACAAGACACAATATGTTACCCTGCTGACAACTTTTTATAAAAGTCCTTTGAAATCGTTTATTAAGACTAAATATGACTGTTTCAGAATATCTGTCATCTATATAATTCTACCGGTTAATGATAATTTCATATTTAAGTCTGTTTCACTACAACTTAATATGTATATGATACTCATTTTGATTCATCATCATTCAATATGCTCACTTTCAATTTCGAGAAGATTGAACATCTATTCTGAAATCATAAGACAGTCAAGCAAATAATAAATAAATGGATCTTAGCCTAGTACTAGATAATGAAAAAAGACTTGAGAATAATTAAATGGTAATACTCAGTCACAAAGAATCGATATTTTCAATGACGAATATCTTGAGGGTGGGGTGTTGGTGTTGTTGAAGAAGAGAAGTGTACCCACACTCACACCCATTCACACTCGACTAAATCGATCGGTACAAGTTGTTAGCAGCGGTGATAGTAGTAGTAGCTGACAAGAAAATGTTGCAAGTTTTATTTTAATACTTGCCTAAAATCCATAAACTAATCTAAAATATGATTACACAGCAAGAAAAGCGAATAATACAACAAGAGTTCGTACATAAAAAAGAACAAACAATATTCATATATTTTTCTCGCTCTTAGATACAACTGTGAATCGACAAATAGTCGGGCATGCTACACTCAAATTCTTTATAAAATGAATAATGATAAAAACAATATTTTTTTTTTGTGCTGAAACAAGAATAAAAAATTACAGCACAGATTATACTGAAATTGATTAACGGTGCTTGTTTTATGTATATATACTGTTATATGAAGAAATCTCTGAAAGAAATAGCAACGAAACAAGAAGATTTTTTCTATCATAGCATATAAGTTTGAATTGAACTTTATTGTTCACGTGAAATTGTTTAACTAAAGTTGTTGTTGTTGTTCGGGTGCAGATAAATTTTGTTTTGAAAATGATAAAACTCCCATTTGTAATTGATGTTTAGTTGGTTGTTGATGATATTCTTTTCGTCGTTGTAATAGTGGAATAGCAAATAAAATCAAACCGCTTAATAAGATAGAACCACCAAATATTAAATATGGCCAAAGATATGGTCGATCAAAATCCGAAAAAGCATCTCGCATTGTACCTGAAATTAATCAAAACTATTCAGAGAAAATTTTTCTTCATTTAATTTCTTCTTACCAACAATTGGTGTTCCTATAGCAACAGCAACACCCTGAAATAATAAAAGAACACCAAAAGCATCAGATAATTTATCAACACCAACTAAATCTACAATAATAATTGATGTTAAACCAACATAACCACCAGAAAAAAATCCAAATAATCCAGCATAAGTCATATGTGTTTGAACAAAAGAATTACAAAATGGTGCAAACATTGTTGCTATACCAGCAATTATTAATGTTGTATTGTATAATATTAAGCGATTAACCTTAATATAAAAGAAAAACGAAATAGCTTATATAGAAAAAAATTGTTTTGTTTTTTGTGTTACCCATGATCGATCAGCCAAATAACCGATGATGACTCGACCAAAACAATTGGCTATACCAATAGACATAATAATCCAATGTCTTTGATGTTCAATAACTTTAGCATCAGCAGCTAAATCATTAGCAAAATTGTATGGAACATTAAAACCAAGACTTGTTAAAAAATTTGATATAGCAAATAAAGCAAATGCAGCATCTTTTAATAAACTAAGATCAATTTGTTCAGCAATTTTTGTCACGAGTGATTTTTTTGCAGCTTTCGTAATTGTTTCATTTGTCATATCACTTGTTTTTATCATTTGACGATGATATTCATCAGTATCCTCGTTATATAATGGAATATTATGTAAACTACCTTGATAAGTCGCATCTTTACGTGAAACTACTACTGCTAGATTAGTTGTCACTGTGTCAGAGACATTTTCATGAGATTTCGATACAGTTTTGTCTGTTGAATTATTAATACAGAGACCATTTTTCTTCAAATCTGACAGAAATACTCGATGTTTATCATCAGATAGACATTCTTGTTCGATAGGAATAACAACAGTTGATTCATTTGAACATGCACTTACTTCTTGTAATGGACTTTCACTAAAACAAAATACAAATCATTGGTAAATCATATGCAACGACAGACTATCAGCATGTATCGTATTTAATTCAAATCACAAGAATTACTATATAAAACAAGAAACATACTTCTGAAGAGTAAATCATCATTCCCGGTTAGTCTCGTATCTTAAGTATTTGTTTTCATCATAGTCTCTATTATTTAAAGAATAAAATCGAATACATAGAACTCATTCTATTTTATAGACAAATATTTACAGAATTAATTATTGTTAAAAACATTCATCAAATATGATTTGGTTAAATAAAGAAAAAAGATTATCTTTCATTCAAATATTTACTCGAATAATAAATCTAAATTTCAAACCTTTCTCCATTTGTTGGAAGTAATTGCGTTTGCTGTTCCTCATTTTGACTAGTTTCAGTTCCTGGTTTGAGTGCTTGTCGTTTAGCTTCTGCTCGTACTTTTCGTTCTACACGTCTTATTTCACTTGGTTCTTGTGGCAACGGAATCTTAAAAAAACTTTTAACTTCTTAAAGTTTTCTTTTGTATCGAAATAAACAATACCATTAGAGCTCCAAATATAACACAAATAAAGATAACGGCTGCCTCAAGTAGAAGAGCACCTTCATAATCAAACCACAATGGTGCATTTATAATATATGGCATAACAGCTGGAAACACCAGTGTACCCAAACCTGAACCACAAACCGCAATACCCATAGCAAAAGAACGTTTACTTTCAAAATAGAAACCGACAGAAACAATAGCTGGTAAATAGATTAAACCAAAACCAATACCTATCGACATATAAATCTACAAATAACCAAAACTCGAGAATTTCTTTCAAAACATACCTCCAGTAATACCAATCGTGAGATAATAAAACCAAAGATTCGCCCAAAAATAACTTGCTAAAAAACCAGCAGCAGCAAGACAAGCTCCAACAATTGTCACCTTTCGACATCCATATGTATTTGTAAATATCGTTGCAATAGGTCCTAAACACTTACTACTAGATATAAAATTTTTCTTGAAAGATAAATTCTTCACCTGTCGCAAGTGTTATTGCTGGTAAAATTCCAAAAATAGTTGAAACAGGTCCTCGAGTTTTATGTAGATTATCCATCATAGGACGTAAAAATACATCACCCATTGAATATGTTATTCTATTATTTTAAAATAAAATTATGGTTTATAGAAAATAATTTACTAACCCATCCATTATAAAATGTATCATAAGAGATGCAAATACAATAATCCATCCCCAACCGCCATCGGGCACAACAGCACCAGGAACTGCACTGTTTATATTACCACCGCTCGTCATTTTTAGTCTTCAATTCTAAAAAAAAACAAAAAAAAGCAGGAATAAATTAAATAGCATGACAGCTGTACTTTTCGTTGTCGATTAACTCATTTTTTAACAGTAGTAATAAAATGATTAGATAACAATCACTCGCTACCTTTATAAAAGAAAAAAAAACGGCAAAGCAATGTAAACATTAAAATTTAGGTATCTTTATCGACTTCGTGTATATATTAAAATGATGGCAACAAGTTATGGCATAAACAGTTACTGTCCTTCCTTTTTTTCAAAATCCTCCTTGCTCGCTTTCCTCTCCCCCTGCTATAGTCTTAAGATGAACACTCAGTTCATAGTCGTTATTGATCTATTCTTTACAGTCATGCTTTGATGATGGTGTGATTAAGATTATGTCATCGTATTTCCCTTCATTTCATACTCATCTCTATTCTCATTTTTGTTCCCACCGTATTCGTAAGCGCTTCAGAGCGTCACAAATAAAACACACTAAATCACAAAAAAACTTCACGGACATATTTGAGCGTAATACATATTTCTAATCTTTCATCGTTATTCAAAGTAAAAGAACGAAAAAAAAATGAAAGAAGCATTTTTTTTATTCGATTACGATAGAAAAAAAGAAATATAAAAAAATTATTTTCAAAACAAGAAAAAATTTTTTAATGCTTCAAAGAAAATATAAACAATCAAATAAAGATTCTTTTTATTTTTTTCACAATTCATGCCAACATTGATATAACTAATGTTAGTGATTTCCACATTAATTTATAATCATATTTAATATAGATACACGAAACCAAAAATCAACTAAAAAGATATTTTTTTTTTGTTCTTCTGTACTTGTATGTCGAACAGTACTCCACCTAGCTGTGCTAAATAATCAAGATAACGTTTGCACATTGTTGCACCGAAAAGATCAAAGAGCATCAATAGATATAAGAACCTATAGAATATCGTTATTGAATGTGTTTTATATTGTTAACGACTATGAACTGAGTGTTCATCTTAAGACTATAGCAGGGGGAGAGGAAAGCGAGCAAGGAGGATTTTGAAAAAAAGGAAGGACAGTAACTGTTTATGCCATAACTTGTTGCCATCATTTNCTTAATCAATTTCTTACCTATAGTTTTCTATCGTATTTTTTATTATTCATTTAATTTATATACATCAACATATACATTCTCTTGTTTATTCATCGGATGAAACAGGAAGAATTAATATGATTTCTGAGGACAAAAGAACAGAAAAAAAATAGTTCTAGATTATAATGACAGCAAGACTAGCAAAGAAGGTATTCACGAAGTAGTTGTAGTTGCTGAACAAACAAATATGCCATAAAGAGTTAAATCAGAAAAAAAAAGAAACCCTATAGAAGCGTCTTAAACAGAGAATGGCTCAAAGTCGTTGAATATTAATGATTTTTAAAAGAATATAAAATAAGTCCATCTCAGTCAACATTAATTGTTGGCTATCAATATTTTTCCGAACATCACAATAAAAAGCTAACATTGATAATCTTATGAACATTCAGAAGCATAAAAAGTTATGAAATCTTATGATTTAAGCAACGATTAGCTTGAATCTCTCCTCTTCATATACTAAAATGGATCCATACTAATTAGGCAAGCAAAATTTATCGAAAATTCTTAAATCAGATGAAGAATGCACTTTAAAAAAAGAAAACATGTTCAAAGATTCTGTTTATTTGTTAGTTGGTTATCTTTCCTGATGTTACGCAGTGAATACCAAAATTCGATGTGAACATTGTTAATCAGTACCGTAAAACAAAAATTTAAAACCAGTTTCATATCATAAACATAATTTCTGCTTTTTTTCTGTTTTTTGATGATAAAATTTCTGTTATTTTCTGCTTTTCAGACTTCAAAAGGTGGCAACACTGATCCACACTCACATCCGCACCCACACCCACACCACACTCATATTCACCCTAAGAATGGCTAGAGATAAACTTCTCGTGGTTGGATCTTTTCATAGAAATGTGACAATTCGTAATTTGATTATGAATCAAGAATCAGTATACCAATCCCTACAAAAATCTTTTATAATGAAAGGATTATGTGGTAGTCACTGGAAACGCTTGACAAATACTATGAACATACGCAAAAGTGATATGGTGCACATATAAATAACCAATATCCTGTCTAAAATCTTTAGCTTTCTTTATTCAATTGCTGCATTCGATTCCATTCGTGCCATTCTTCAGACGACAAATCATCAGGTTCACTTTCCGGTCCTTCTATCCATTTTCGGCGTTGTGCTATTTCACACAGAATGAAGAGTAGCATCATCATGGCATAGCCTACAGTGAATCGCCATCCATCATCTGTTTTGTTATACAAGACGCCCAAGTTCGATGAATGAATTAAACCAAAGAAAGAGAGGAGGCTTGCTAAAAACGACCATACGGCACCTCGAATGAACTTCCGGTCGATCATATACATAAAAATTGCCGTAATCAAAATACATTGAAGAAGACTGCCGCCAGCCAAATTTGCAAGCCCATGATAGGAGAAATCAGTTATACGAAGAGTGACATTCTGAGCAAAGTCTACGTTCGGTAAGGTCAGATTTAAGTACGCAACTGCAACACCATTAATTATGGTTCCTCGTGCCCAGTCAGCTATTACAGGTGTTAAACCTAGAAGAAAGGCAGGATAATGACGTGGAGGTGTTATTGCAAGAGTTTCAGCACATATAAAAAGACCGATGAAGATCTACATGTATAATTAGAGAAACAATTAATGCAAAAGAAGAACACAAACCACTTACAATGACCGGATTGACAGCAACAACAGCGATTATTCTGACGAAAAGGGCGATTATGCCAAAAAAGCATAATGGTACATAGGCCAAACAATTGATCATTGAATAGGCTTGCCTTGCGCCCATTCTCTTATATGCAGGATGGCCGATGTAAACTATGAGTCAGATAAAAACATAATAATCAAATTTCTAATACTTTCTTTTGTAAAACATGATTGTTATGGAGAGTGGAGGTACAACCGGTCGCCGCTACCATCTTCGGTCTGCCCAACAAATACGCCACGAACATGTTCATATGATATTTTAGGTCTCAGATTAGATTTTCAAAGGATTTTTGGATTTTCAATCAGTTGAAAATCCCAAAGTCAGAACATTTCGTTTTTCTTTCATGTAATGTGACCGTTTAGTCCCTATTACCGACCATCACCGATACTTGGAGGGTGGGAAAAGGTTTAGGTAGTGAATTGAAACTATAACAAAGCTCATACATATCGGTTGAAGTGTTCAAGAGCTAGTCATATTTTCTTTATCGACAAACTTTTGGAATATCCTGTAGACACAGTGGTTCTTTATCTTTATTTTCCTCTAAAAACACATATTTCTACACATCCGCCATGGTTTAGAACTCTTTAGGATTATTGCGACATATCTGTCGCTATTTGCGTGGGAATGGGATAGGTCCAAGTTTCTTGCAACATACTTCAACACTCATTAGTAATTGCGTTTTACAGAAGAATTCGGGCTCAAAAACTGACTTTATTGTTGGTCATTGCATGCGAAATTCTGTGAATGCTTCGTGATTCTGTGTGGATTATTGTTTTGCGAAAAAATACGATCATAGCTAAAAACCAGGCCCTCCAACGAGGAAAAGTCTGTGGAGACTAGTCCGAACACTGGATACTTAGTACAGTACTTAAGTGCAAAAACATATTTTTAATTCCTGTATAGTGATGCACCAGTTCCAACTCTAGTTAACTCTAATTCCAATTCTTGGCTCGAAATGGGTCAGAATTGGAATTTGTGCAACCCTATTCCTGTATCAAAGCACCATCTAAGTGAAGCTGAAGTTCACGTGAGAGTTTATCACTTGATAACAGTCTGATAGATGCCTTGTTTGTCGATATGCCACAGCAATAAGTTTTCTTCCGTCGGTTTACATCCTTTTCATGGTGTTTACCCTGAAGTAATTCTTCACATTCATCAATATCGCTGAAAATCGTACTAATGGCTATTGTATGCTTCGTGAAAGTAATTACAAATACAAACTTTGTATCTTCAGTAATTTTACAAAGCGCTTGTAGAGATTGAAACAGCTGCAAATCAAATTCTTGATTATTAAGAATATGATCATTAAATGCAACCTTCCACCGACTAGTGTAGAATATTAATCCATTCGAGAATTTTGGAAAGATCTGTATCCAACATGGTTTCCAATATCGTCAAAGAGAACCACAAATACGGAAATATAATCGTTGCTATCCAGTATTTGTCAAAAGATCGTAGGTATTTTTAACTATCTTGACGAAATTAACTTTTATGGTAGATCTTTCAACTAATTGCTGTTGTCATTTGTTTCTCATCGTTAGAACATATTTCATTACTGACAGAATCAACGAAACATTTTTCATTGATTTTATGAGAATGAAAATTCCACAAACGGGTGACAATATCCGAGAAATCACAGAGGCTGTTCTGGAACGCCCAGAACTACGAGAAAAAGTACTTCGAATTGTCATGGGCAATGCCTCAACGATGATAAAAGCCTCCGAATTCCGTCAAATCGTCAATAATCACCTCAACAACGATAGAGACAAGGACAACAACAATAAAATCGAAGAATGCAAGTAGTATTTTCATATTTCTTTGTGCCGATCCTATATAATTGTGTCGGTAGAATTAGAAGTCAGCTGTCTGTGTCACCACGAGAGGGTGTTTGTTATCGGTCATTAGACGATGTCGACGCTAGTCTTTTCGAGGTCTTTTTTTATTGTGACAATGTCTTCAGTAACGATGCTGATCATGATGATATTAGCCTCACATTGCTGTCGTGTTTCGTGCATTTATTGGAGTTAGTCATTCAAGATGAATTGTATGAGATGCTATACATTTCGAAAGCTTTGTCCAAATGAAAGCATTTGATCACTATTTCTCATAAGTCGACGAAGATTGCGGATTTATTTGGCGATTTGCACAAAAACGTCGACAAAACCAATCGTACTCGATGAAATAGTGAATTTTTATTGATGAAATCAATTGCAAAATGTCCACAAAAGAGATTTGAATGCTGTTGCTCTAGTTATGAACAATACAATTCAAACAGTCTCAATAATTCAGTAATTTCACAAGAATCTACTGGTATCACGGAACTCTTCTTCGACGTAACGATCAGATTTTCAGTAGAAACAACTGCCATAGCCAGCTTTCGTTTGATTACCGATCTCTCTGAGATCAATCATGTTGTCAAATGATTGCACGATCCAGTGGCGATGGATGGCGACCTATTTAGCTATCCTATCTATTTTATGACAATCTTACTCTACCCATCATTGAAATTTCTCTGAATGTGTTATCTACTGTTAGAAACAAGCGTCGAAACAAAATTGAAAACGTTCGTGATCAACGTAGTCTTGAACAAAATCAACTTTTTGGCGAACAGTCACGAGCATCCATCAATTACCACAATCAATATCTCTATAATCTCGAGCAAATCCCACCACCGATGAAAAACTCAATTATCAAATCTCTGTCAGAGCTCCAAACGTTTCTCGATGACTTCGTCAAATCAAAATCAGCATACTAATTACATATACGATTGCCTCCTTTGAAACAAATTCTCAAACGAATTCTCACTGTACAAGTTTCGCCAGCATCAATCTAAAATGGTATTTCGAACTCCAGACTGGATTTTTCGTCCTTTTCATGATTTGTACGTGTCATTGCTGTCGATAAATTATTTCAGTGATACTGAGTACCGCGCTACTTTTCTATAATGATATTCATGTGCACTCTCAATCAAGACACTAAATCAGATATAAACGAACGAAAACCAAATTATGTTATTTGTAGATGTTCGATGATCGGCTATTATTAAAAATTTAAATACAAACTTGAAAATAAAATTACTAATGTCTATTTGAACGTAAACGGTATTTATCTTACTCACGAGGGAAGATTATCAATGTGGCATGTGGCTTTGAATTGGATGCATATCAGTTTGTAGAGCTCGATCAAACTTGAAGAAACATACATAGATATGTCTCCATATGATGCCTTTCTCAGGTTATGCTTGTGAAATTTTGGGCTAAAATGTTGCCTATAGATAGATTTCGTAGTCATTAGAATGTATTAAAAATGTCAGCTCCAAAGAATGTTCTTTTCTTGAGATATTGAATATTTCAAACACTATTTTCTGATTGCGCGTAGTGATGCATCACGTTTTTTTTTAGTATTCAATATCTAAACAAGAGAATTTCCAAGATATTCTAATGATCACGGGATCTAACTATGAGCAAACGAGGTCAAAATTTCATAATTAGATTTTTTTTCATGTATACCTAACAGAAGGTCGAGAATATGATAAAACGATCATGAATTTAGAAGAGCGGAGTGGCGCACAAAGACGAACCATTGAAGACTACTATGGGTCTCATCGCGCTCGACAAACTAATGTGTGTATCCGATTCGAAAGGGCGCGTCGTACTTCAAGACCTTTCCTCCCACTTCGAGAAACAATCGAGAATCATCCCAAAAGGCAAAATGTTTTGAAACACGATGGGTAATAAGTGTTGAAGTATGAAACGAGCAAATTGGGCGTCCTCTGCGCACAAACAGTGACAGATATTTCAATATATTAGTCTATCTGACCCTCAAGTATAGTATCATCGACGTGGGCACGGTGGTCTTAACTGCTGGAATGAGTCCCTCATGTTTCACATATTAATTCTACAAGTTGACATTAAAAGGTCTCTCTATAACACTACGAAACTGCTAGTTAGTTTTTCTGTTGCTGCAAAGTACCAAGGAGTAAAACAAAGAAAACCGACTTTTAAGAAGAATGTGGAATATATTAAGATTTGACAACAGTATTTCCTAAATGTTTCTCTATATTTTAGAGTGTAATCGAACATTCTTTATACCCTTGTGAAGCATTTTACGAATCATCTCGTGATTAAAGCAGGCCCAAACAATTGAAATGGTATGAATGAAAAGTGAAAATCAAAATATGGCTCATTTTCCTACGAACTTCCGACAGTGGACAAACAGAAAGTTGTGGATCGACTTGCTGTCATTTTTCAGTAATAGCAGAGTGTACTAGAACTTCAAGAACTAAATAACTTTACATGCAAAGACCTCCAACAACTAGAAAGTAGAGGAACCTTACAATCCTTGAGTCGCTCGGTCGTCGAGACATCGCTGACTATTCACATTATCCAATAGATATCTTTCAAAAAATCATTTTCTGTTTTCAACTCACGAAAACTGACAAAATTTAAAAAAAAAGGAAAAGAAATCTACGAAAGCAGGACAAAACAGAATGTTATGGAGCAGTCAATAAAAGTGCATAAAGTAGAAGTTTCCTGACAAACAAACAAAATCTTATTGGTTTGAA